AATGTTGAATTGATGGCAGCTCTTTTCTTTGAGCCTTGTGAAACATTGACGATGTGCTATGGTAAATGACAGCCTTAAAACACAGGGTGGAGAAATTGGTGTTCGCATCAGCAGGAATGGCAAACTAATGATGAGTCAACTTTGCTATTGATCAGAGCTTATTTCAGCCCCTGGGACCCAGACCAACCACATCCTCCTCTCAAATTATGCTGAGATGTCTCCACCGATACCAGCCCCACAAACGTTCTTTTCTACTTGCCTCGCAATTCTAATCCAGCAGAACATCTTCTTCCCTCAAGTCCCAAGTGAGTTATTTTGTTATCAACAGTCTGTACTCAACATGCAAATGACTGTGTGTCTCTGGTTCTGGAGTACTGATCACCCCCAAAGAAGACATCAAAGACACATTTTCACAAGAGATATATATAAGTAAATTGACAAATTACACTTTGCACTGCCTTTTCTGTGTATTTACCACACATTATTATACATAAGCTATTCTTCACTTGTTTACAGTGAGAGTGCTGAGGTGTGTACTGCAGCATATTTCAATATGCTTTTTTGGAGTATATTTTATGTAGCATGAATAATGGTATGTGTGGGTGTGAGAAGGGAGGGAAACATATTTGTTGAAGATTCCTCAAGGGCGGCTGCAGCAGCTTCTGTGGAGACGAAAACACACGTACACGAGGGGAGAAGATGCAGGCTGGTTCTGATGCACTTTAAAAGCACAATTGATCAGCAATTCCTTCTGTGAGCCCACAAATCCTTCAGACTTCAAACACACCTCCTGAAGGTTAGGGGCACAGAGTGGATAACAGAGGGATGCCCTGGGCAGAGATGCCTTACTTTGTTGACATTAGACATTATCGGGGTATTTTTTTAAAACCTACTGCCCTCATGTGGCTGCTTCTGTGTCGCAGGACAGGAGGACAGAAACATCTTCAAAACAACATGAAACTTTGACGAGTCATGAGATTCGTGAGTGATTTTCACCGGCTGAATCCTGGAGAAAACAACATGATGGTCGCACAGCTCTCAGAAATCTGGACTCTGCACATGCTTTGATTTAGTCAGTGCAGTAACTGATCTATTTACAACAAATAATGGAAAGGAAAACACCTTCATCAGCAGCCGAGTTTTAGTTCAGTTAAGATATTTTCCTCTCTGAGCTGTTTGATTCTTCTCTGTGGACCGTAGACTGCTCTAAATATTTGTCCATCGTAATACGTCCAGTACTTGTATCATTACATTACTAATTAACATACAGTAAATAACACGTCATATTTTCTTGATATAACCACACTTCTTTAAAGGGGCCCTATCATGCTTGTTGGGTTATTCCCTTTCCTGTTGTGTGTTACTTTACATAGGTTTATTTGGTTGTAAATGGCCTCCATTGGGTTTTATTCGTAACATATTGACATCACTATCTAACACTCACACTTCTATTGGCTAGCGCTCCAACACATTGTACGTGATAGGCTAAGGTGCTGGACATCTCTAAGCGGTTGACCAATCACAACAGAGCCTGCCGATAACCAATCAGAGCAGACTGGGCTCTGGTTTCAGACAGAGGGTGAAAAGAGGTGCTGCAGCACAGGCAGTATGAGAAATCTACATTTATGTCCTCTTTAATAAAATACTAAATTACTGTTTTTGATGACTCCAAAAAGTCCAACAATGTATCATCGAATCCAGCTATACAAGAAATGTAATCCACATGAGTATAAACAGACTACCAGCCAAGCTATGCTACAGTATACTGATATATTTGATGTGCAGACGTTTCAGTATAACAGAGAAAGGAAAATATACTTTGCAGAACTGAATGAAAACATAACTCCAAGGTCACCAAATATAATGACTACAGTTTGACGTCTGTTCTTCCTTACATGCTTTTCATTCCACTATCACGTTTTTTCTATACGCTATACAGTACTGTAGATTCCACTGGAGTTTTGTTCATCTTCATGCTTTTCATCGTCTCAACTCCATTGTCTCATGGTGGATCAGACGATTGTGCTGCTGAACACTTACAGATAAAGCTGCAGTCCTATGACACACTGAATATACAGTGATTGAATGGTGAGTGTGTATTCACACTGTAATCAAGACATTGTTATTGGGCATCAGAATCGCTGTCTTTCTGTCTCACTCTCACACTCAACACTCAGTGGATTATAAAACAACCTCAATGCACATTCATTTTCCTTTTGCCTCATACTTCTGTAACTTTGTCTCTCTTCCAGAACTGTATTCTTTACCCGCACACTCTATAGATACACACCATAACCTTTTATGACTTATTCTGTCAACCATGCCCCCAATTAAACTCATGACCCAAAATATCCAGTGCACTGGCTTAAAAGCTCAAAATAGCCAGCCATCTTCTGCCCACACATCACTCAAAACAGCATTAAAATATTGATGTATTCCCTGCTTTAAATATACTCATCCACTATAATTCCCATCATGACCATTAATGTTCAGCTTCCATCAACACCTGAACCAACCGTTTCATAACTAACAATTTAAAGGTTGAACACCTCATTTTTATCTTTTTTTTATAAAGCTGGACTTGTCTTGAAAGCATGACTTTAGTAATATAGTGTAGTGCTTTCATATATTGTGGGTCTTTTAACAGACACATTTAAAACAAATATTCTACATCAAGGCAGCAGAGGCTGGGGTAAATGGGTCAAGCCCCTAAAACCCAGGATTGAACATTTCCCACAATGCAACCTGCTATATTTTGTTTATCCCCTGTTCTCAACAGTTTAAAATTAGTGCTTGTGACTAGCATATGTTACATTAGCTCTTTTGTAAGTGGGTGCCACTCTTGGCATCGTATCAAGAGGCTAACGTGATTTAAGTAATGCCTTTACAAACATTTATGAGGGAGAGTTTTCCATGAGGTATTTATTTTATGAGCTAACAGCATGAACAGGCTTTATAATTATAGCTCAATTTGAAACCACCAAATCGATCAAGGCAGAGAAACTGAGACTTTTAAATCCTGGACAGTTTTATCTAATCACTGTTGTGCTGGATGGATTTTTCTCTAAACACAGTGGATCTGATAGTTAACTTGGTGTGTATTGATCTGAAGCAGAACAGAGGTGTGATCCGAGGCTTCGATACAAACGAAGCGATATAGTCATTGATCCTGTAAAGTCCCCAGGGATCAGTGTTGTAGAGTTTCTTCATCATACCAGCGATGAAGTTGGCCTGCTTCCTCCCACATGCCTCATCATTTAAAAACGTCAGCCCAACACCATATGGGATCCGCACGAAGAGAAAAATCAGAGCAGGACAACTCTCAATTAGATTTTGAAAATAACATGTGGACTCAGAGTTTTTGTATTATCTGAGGGATAACAGAAAAATGTTCCCTTTCCTATTCTCATCCTCAAAAGACTTATATTACTGAGAATGTGTTGCTACATTGATCACAGACTGTGCACACCACCAGGAGAGCCAAGACATGTCTAATCTAAAAACAATATTTCAGTACCGGATTTATAACATGCTAGCAGAAAGGGGTTATTCATATTTTACAGCTTTATATTCAACACACTATATACTATATTACAAGGTTACAGTATATAGTGTACTGAACCCTCTTGGTTAATAAAGTTATGGCAGATTCCTGATAATATAAGTAATTTAGGTTGCAGATGTGAAAAAGTCTGTATTCTCATATTTGCATGAATGATATACAAATGTCAGATTCCCTTCAATAACCTTTTTCTTTTAGCTATTTTAGCGTACTGGAAGTGTATATAGACTTTCTTACCCAAATCGAGCTGTCATTTAATTAAATTCACATTTCAGGCATTGAGATGGTGTTTCAAATGAAGTGGTAATGGTAACAATAAGAGCCAAGGAGTCGAAAAGCAGTAATAAACTTGTAACATTTTCAAGTAAAATTACTTTTTGCCCCATTGATACACAGCTATTTAAAATGGGTTACTTCACATATGAATGGCACGACTTGATCCCTAGCTATCTCCTCTAAATCAGGCATATATGCTATTTTTCACATCTACTACTCTAGACATTGCAATATTGTATGTTTTACTCCATTACATAATGTTTAAAGCTATTATTGTGGTTAGCCACATTACAGATAGAGGAGCAAGCATGTTCCAGAATAAGTATTGCTGTGTCACTGATATTATTGAGTCTATTTCACTGATTCAATGATCTAACCCCACTTGTACAAAATAACCCAAAATCTTTCCAACTTTTCACTTGTCGCACATTTTCTGGCTTTTCTGTGTTAAAGTCGTCAAGGATTCTCTATCTTAGCATTATTTCCTGTTATGTGTCACAGGCACAGAATGCAAACAAGTGTTGAACAATTTAATTTGTTCAAAAGACAGGTTGTTAATATAGATTTGTGCACATTAACAATACCTGGAAATGCAATGGATTCATGGTTATACAGTATTACATGGAAAACACAAGGTGTGACTCAGTGCTCTCCCACAGCGGCACTAATCAGCTCATCAGCTTCATCCAGAGCACCATACTGTATGAGCAGGAGACGAGTGTGAGATCCACACCACAGAGTTCATTAGCTGCCCTGAATTCCACATGACCATCATCCCTCTGTTTCTCTGAGGTAGCCAATGACGTTCAGCCTAGTGGGCGGCCTGAGGCAATGGCAGCATCACTTGAGGTGGGGAAACAGTAATTGGACCGTGATTGCAGTCGAATAGTAAAAAAAATCAGGTTATGATTTTTGGACTATTCGACCGCAACCCGTGTGTCAGATGAATCCAGGGTGTGACAAACCTCCCAGCATGCATCACTCCACCACTGACGGCTAGTGGCTTTTCAGCTTTTCATCGGAGGTCAGCAGGTCGTTGGACATTAACTCTTTCAACTATACTTCTACAACCAGCAGTAGCATACCATGAGGGATTAAGATTTCGAGAAATATATATACAAGAAAAACTACACTTCATATGTACATTATGAAACTCTGTTTTATTTGGGACTGATGATGCAGTACAATCCACTAATGGAGAGTGCAAAGAGCATACATTATAAAGCATATTAAAGTTTTATTTGGTCAGATACAAAATATAAATCCTTTTCATTCACAGCTTTATTTAGTTAAATATCTTTTTTTCCCTTTCCTTCAAGGGGTGTAACATAACATGGCAGTGTATGAAATACTGAACAAAGAATGACTGAACAAAAAAGAAGCAATAATAAATATGTTATGGAAAAGAATTAGCAACCAATATCATATGACATTTGTTTACATTTGTGACATAAAATTGAGGTGTGTGCGTTAATGTAAACGTTAAAAAAATCTGCTTCTAAGGTGCTTAAATATTTTAACATAGAGTATGTACAAATGTATACAAGCCAGTCAATCTAAACACCAGATGAACTTAGACGAACACCCAGCTGTTTTGCCACCGTTTTGCTGTTAAAATACATCATTTAAAATCGAATTAATGTATTTTTTAACAATATTTTGGAAGATTAACTCGGGTTTGCTGCTTGTTAAGTGGCTAGAAAAAAAAGCCAGTGTTACCAGTTACTTTGGCAGGTTAACTGGCAAGTCTCTACTCTAAAAATAATTTGGCTAGCGAAATATTTGTGCTGCTTTAACTGTGGAATGTAGAAAGTTATATCACTGCCCTGTTTAGGTTTGTTTACACAGGACCTTTACGTGTTCTCCTCTGCACGGGCAAGATCTTCACGTCTTTTCTTCGACCTGCTGTCCGTTTGTTTAGCGTAGCGTCCTCGTCCTCTGCTGTCTGCTGCTTGGCAAAGTTAACGAACACCTGCAAAACAGACAAACCAAGTACAGTCAGTACATTGTTGAATATTTTTTTTAACTGCACTAAGGCACAAAAGGACCGTAGTGTAGCTGATTGTAAGTCATATTTTAACCAATAGAAGCGCAAGTGTTACATAAATATGCCACTATGTTACGCAAGTAAACATAGGAGTCCAATGGAGGCGTTCCAGGCAGGGGGGGAGTGTGTGGGAGAGAAACTCCCTCTGGGGGGAACTTTTGGGATTTTAGACCATTTACATGCACACAAACCTATATAACACACTACAGGAAAGGGAAGACCTCAAAAAGCACATTAAGGCCTTTTCTTATACACTCTTCTCTTAAATAAATAAAAATAAAAAATAGGATGAGAAATGAAACTGTCTTGTTATCTGAACATGTACTTGTAGGAATTTATTTTGTATTTGTTATATTTTAATTTAACCCTGGAAATTGGTGTATGTATGTATATGTGTACATATGTATGTGTATGTATATATATAATTTTGTTTATCCCTGTTAATTACGGAATTATCTTTTATTGACCTTATCCTGCAACAGGATGACTAACAGGAGGGCTACTTCTGTATAGGCTATGCTTTCTGTCCTCCCGCTTCTACTAATTTAGTTTCTTTTTTAGATGTATAAACTGTCTAAATTGTTGAAATAGTAGAATAAATAATAATAAACAATATTCCAAAAAAATTATAACGAGATAACCAACCATTCTTCCTTCACAAACATCATCAGGACTGTTTCCCCTAAATGCCTTTAACACAGTGTGAGACTCGTATTGTCTGTGTTCAGAAGTACCTGGTCCAGTGTTGTCTGGGAAACGGAGTAGTCTTCGATGCTGAGCCTTTCTTTATTGGCCACCACCAGCTGGAATATCCTGGCCAGGGAGGAGGAGGCGATCTCGTACTGCAGCGTGTTGTAGTGCTTCTCCCTCTGCACGCAGCCGGGGAAGCTGCTCTCCATGAAGCTCTCCACGGGCTCCAGGTCCAGAGACACGCCCGCTCGAGCTGCCTTCATCTTCATGGTCACTACGTAGCCGTCACCAAACCTAAGGCAAGGAAACACAATGCCAAGAAAGAAAAAAAAATGTCAGAGTACAATTTAAATCTCTTAACTTTTTATCCCCCAAGGTTGTTGTACAACTTTGCATTGTTGTTTTTTCAAGTTTGACTGTTTCCTTATATATTCCTTTTCTGTTCCATGATGCAGACCTTCATTTAAGATAAGATCAGATTAAATAAACCTTTATTAAATCAAACCTTTAATAGCAATATGAGTAAAACACAGGATAGGCAAGATATGAGGTCACACAAGAGTAATTAGAGTAAAAATAAGAATAACTAAGAAACAGTTTAGGTAAGAATAACAACATTATGATTAGGAGAACATGGAGTAGTTGGTTTAGCAGGCATATCAATATGAGTAGAGATATATATTAATATTAATAAATATAAAAGTCTATGTGTCACAGTAGGTACATACAGGGCCGTTTTATACACTGGTCAAGCCTTGGTTGTAGAGCCAAATAGATGCTGGCACAAAGTGTGGCCAAAGCACTTTACAGGTTTAGATTTATGATATTAAAACACTACCCACACACTTTACACACAGAAAACCTCTTACTTGTATTTGAGATGCTGGATGGTACCCAGACACTTGAAAGTCCCATTGACCATGATGGCCAGTCGAGTGCAGAGGGCCTCGCACTCCTCCATACTGGTGAAAAAAAACATCATCAATCTTTATTTGTACTGCTCCTACTCCATGTCAATGAGCAATAAATCATACTTTATAGTTCTAAATAATTCAGGTTGTTGGCAGAAGAGTTACAGTAGCTGTGTTTGCTCAGCTGCTGCAGCAGGAGTGTGTGCTCTGGATTAATTTCATTATTAGATGTTGAACCTGTGTGATGTTAGCACCACGGCACGCCCGTCCTGGATCACACTCATGATGGCATTCCACAGGAAGCGTCGAGAGTGGGGGTCCATCCCTGTCGTGGGCTCATCCTAAACACACACACACACACACACACACACACACACACACACACACACACACACACACACACACACACACACACACACACACAACACACACACACACACACACACACACACACACACACACACACACACACACACACACACACACACACACACACACACGACAAATTCTCTGAGCACATCATTCCATATAAACAGAGACCAAGTCCTTATCTCTATCAGCATATGGCAAACATCTCTGATTTATGTTAATTTGAATTGGACTGTACAGTTCCCTGCCAATGTATAAAACATTGGAGGCCAGGCATGACTGAACCCATATGGCTCGCCATCTGGATCTGTAGTCCATTTCATTGAGAAATCCTCATCCATCCCAGAAACCCAAACAATGGGCTCTCTCACCAGCAGCACCAGCGCCGGGCACCCGATCATCGCGATCGCTGTGGAGAGTTTCCTCTTGTTGCCTCCGCTGTAGGTCCCGGCGCAGCGGCCCGCGTACTCCGTCAGACCCAGCTTCTGGATGCCCCACTCTGCCACCTATAGGGGAGAGGGAGGACATGCATTTATTAAACACGTACAGTACATCTTATCACTTTACATTTGCAAGATGCACTGAAAAAACTGAAAAGTTGACTTGAATGTCAACAAATATCAAATAACTGTAGCAGGTTAGTTGAAAGCCGTAATATTATTATTACCTATTTTTGTATTTAAACGTAATATTATTGCTTTCAACTAACCCTATCAGAATCAGAATCAGAATCAGAAACGGGTTTATTACCAGGTACTGTAGGTTCACACGTACGAGGAATTTGATTTGGTGTCGTGGTGCATACAAGTAAAACTAAAATGTAAAAACACAGATAGAGAACTATTATAAGAAAACTATAATAACGTTAAAAATAATACAAAATATAGAAAAAATTAAATATAGCAGTATGTGCAATGCAATAAAATGAAGTTACTGTATGTGATATCTTGTGACATAATAAATGTCATTAAAGTCAACGTCTCAGTGTCAGCCAAACGTACTGTTTACCCTTTACAACAATTTAATAGCAAAAGTTAAAAGCACAATTTAAACAGTTGTGGAAAAAGGACCCCCCCCCCCCCCCCCCTAAAAATGAATAAAACAGATATAAAGGCCAGCTCTGTTTCAGGAAGTGGAGACAGGAGAGTAATGGCTAAGCCGTCAATCTTGTTGGACAACGTGTCTCCCCCCCCTTCCCCAATTTGTCTGCCCCGTGCAGCTCGTTCAGCGACAGGCTGCTTCACCCGTGGTGTCTCACAGAGAGATATTATTTAATATGTTGTTCTACTCTTTTATTTTGTCTTATCTGTACTGTCACCTTTGCTGTAACAATGTACATTTACCCAATGTGGAACGAGTAAAGGATTCCTGATTCCTGATTCTCTGCAGCGCTCAGTAAGACAGTTACAGATTAAAGGAGCTGGAGGCGTACTCACTCTGGGGATCTCGGACTCGGGCACCCCTCTGAGACGAGCGTACAGGTACAGATGCTCCCTGCCGGTTAGCAGCTCATCGATGGCTTCAAACTGAGGGCAGTAGCCCATGTTCTGGTGCACGTCCAGAATCTCTGTCAGGATGCTGCAAAACAAGACACAAGGAGCCACTCGATTCATTGAGCCAATCAGAAACATGATTTAAGAGTGGGTATTAATTATCTAAAACATCCAGATTTGAGAGGGGAGCTGATTCCTCTGACAAAATGCAAAAACTGAACACAACTATACAAAAATGCATTGTTAGATTGTTAGTTGAATATAATGGACAAAGGTGCTATTGTATTTAAGTTCATGCCATTTAATAAATTGATAATTCCCAATCTGGAGTCCTGAGATACATTTCTAGAGTCATATGAAAGATGATAAATAAATTGTGTAGTTCTATACAGAAATTGTGTTTTTTTCCCTCAGTTATCTGTTCTGTTATTTAACTTATTTTGTTAAGCACTACGAACCCAGACTGTCATTATTTCTGAAGTGTCTGAGATGAAAACATGCTTTGTTTAAAAAGTAGGCATAGAAAATGGATTTCTAACAGATAGAAAATTAGAATTCAAATCACTTTGCAGTAGCTCCACAAAATATATGTATCTGAGTCTTCAAAAACAAAGCGTCGATGAAACCCTAGCTCCTAGTTTTTCTATTCAGAGCACCGCATGTGTTGGTTTTATAGTCAGATAGTGTCATCAAACAGAATTGTGTCAGATTGACCTTCTCTGTGTTTAAACTTTCTAACTCATTGGACTGTTTCCGGTCTCCCATCTTGAACGCCATGCAGGATGAACCGAGAGCAGAGTGCTGCGAGCTCAGTGTGTGTTATATGGACCGCAGGGGCATTTTGGACGGATCTTTATGTACCTGTACCCAGCCACAGTGGCCTCCCCCGAGCTGACATCACTGTCCCCAGTCAGCATTTTGAAGGTCGTCGTCTTTCCAGCTCCATTAACTCCCAAAAGACCAAAGCACTAACAGGACAAAATACAATCAGTCTGTTGATGCGAGGACACATTCTGCTGAATTACAGACAATAAAGTGCTGAAACGCACTCGCTGATACGGACTGGTAATATCATTTTGAAACTTTTAAATCTAATTCGGCTTAATATAATGATAATGCAAATAATCTGAATCTCTAACAGTCTGATGGCAGCTTAATCAGCATTTCGGTTTAACTGAGCAAACACAAAAAGAACAAAACTTGATATAAATGAAACCATAATAACTGAATGTAAAGTGTTTGTACCTCTCCTGCAGGGACACCCACACAAATCCGGTCCACAGCTGCCCTCTTGCTGCCCACATACGTCTGTGCAGAGGAGGCAGGGAAACATGATGACTGATTCATATTTGTTTAGTGCATTTAAAACGATAGCAAATATTGTCTACAGCTTCTTTCTACAGCATTAATCTGCCTGCTTATAGTTTGGAGCATTTTTTGTTCTGCACTTCAAATTGGTTTGAAAGAAACGGGATTAAATATCATGTTTTATTTCATTTAAATAATACAAAATTACATTTCTGAGATTATAATCATCCTCCATAAACAAATGGTCATCATCTAATAAAAATAGCCCCAAACAAAAACAACAGACAATAATTATTTTTATATTTAAAATGTCCCCTGTTATGTTGTGGACTAGCTTTTGTATAGTATTGTTCTTTCCATTTTATGCCTTTTATGTATTTAAAATATATATATTTTTGCATTTTCTTTCCATTTCATTAAGCAGTTAAAGGTGGGGTAGGTAAATTTGAGAAACCGGCTCGAGATACACTTTTTGTTATATTCCATGGAATGCTCTTAACATCCCGATAGCAATGAATATCTCAAGTGCTTTGACAAAAAATCCATAACAAAATGTTATCTGTGGAAGCCGTAGTACTGTAAAAAGCACGACCAATCATTTTAGCCGGCCCGGCTAAAATAACTGGATGGCCTACCTGCCTGTCAGCCTTCCATCTGTGCACAAACTTATCTCGTGCCCTCATTGGTCATGTGCACGTTCGTGTGTGTTGGAGGAGGGGCTCTGTAAGGAAGTGGCAGATTTGTTCCGGCTGTGTATTTTCAAATTCTAGCGCACTCGAGCCGGTTTCTCCAAAATTACCTACCCCACCTTTAAGTAAAGATATTTGTATATATCTGTATTTCCAATGTGCAGCTAACATGTTTTTAATCCAGCATTTAACCCACTAAGGTTTTGTGGATATACACCCATGAATACTGCAAGGGATTACTTTGTTTCTTCTTGTACATTTCATTCAACTTTATACGTGATATATTTCAAAGTTCAACGTGAAAAAATCACAAAGACAGGCGAGCCAGTGTCTCTACCTTAGAGAGGTCTCTGATCTGCAGGATGTCTGTCTTGCTCGCTCCGTCATAAACTCTCTGCCTTTCTGCTGCCACGTCTTCATCCTCGTCTCGTACTGTAGTCTGCGGGCACTTTGTAAACCTGAAGAGGGCGAGAAAATCATCTGTGGATGAGCATCTTGTATTACAGTTGTATCTGATCACAGGTGGGTATGAGCTCTGACCGTCTGTGAAAGAGTTTGTAAAGAAAGGTCAAGACATGTGTGTAACAGCTGAGATGCTGTGTGTGCAGACTTGTACTGTCTGTGTTTGAACAGTAGCTTACCAATTGTCCATGAAGAAGCGGTACTGGATCAGAAGATTAAGAATAAAGAAGACAAAGCCTTCCACTGCCATGAAAGCTATATTTTTCCCCACAAAGTCCCACCGGAACGGGTCCTGTGTGAACTCCTCACCTGAAGACAGATATATACTGAAAATGAACCTCTGTTCAGCACAAAGTCAGTCGTTTTTATATTTCACAAGCAGTACAAATATATTTTCCAGACAGTGGCTACAGCAATAATAATAATAATATTTGTTTAGACTGAGGAGTAGCTAGTCAAGACTATCTATTGGAAATAAGATATCCTTTATTTGTCTTACAGCAGGAAACTGTACAGCATTACAACAGCAATGGTACAGAGCAGATTAGAGGCACACATAAAGAGACAAACATGCGTTAATAAAATACAAAAACAATAGAGTAAACATACATGGTATAGAAATAAGGGGAAGCATTCAAAAAGGTTAGTGAACTGACATATCTAAAGTGTCAAATTAAGAGCATGTAATATGTAGTATGAAATATTTTAAGTGATGGCGGACTTTGCTACAGATCTTGTAATAGTGATGTAAAACTCAAAAGGTAAAGGAACATTAGGAACTGAATTAGTTGTAGAAGCCAAAATGCTTATTTAGCCTGAGGCAATTATTTCCATTATTGTTGTTATTTTAGACTGCACACATTTGTATTTAATAATCACTTCCGGCTTTGTCACATGGGTGTGGTTTGTTTGCATTTAGTCCACCTGTTGTTTGCCAGTAATTAGTATGACACAGTGGCACAGACATTTTCTGTTGACCGCTTGGTCCTCTTTAAGTTATGGTTTGTTTATTTGAGTTATTTAACATTGTTAAAGGTGGGGTCGGTAAGTTTGAGAAACCGGCTCGATAGCAATGAATATCTTAAGTGCTTTGACAAAAAAATCCATAAAGAAATGTCATCTGTGGAAGCCGTAATACTGTAAAAAGCACGACCAATCATCTGAGCCGGCCCGGCTAAAATAACTGGATGGCCTACCTGCCTGTCAGCCTTCCATCTGTGCACAAACTTATCTCGTGCCCTCATTGGTCATGTGCGCGTTCGTGTGTGTTAGAGGAGGGGCTCTGTAAGGAAGTGGCAGATTTTTTCCGGCTGTGTATTTTCAAATTTTAGCGATCTCGAGCTGGTTTCTCCAAAATTACCTATCCCACCTTTAAGCTATAACTTCAGTACAGATTCTTTTAAATGAAACGTGTCAAAGTGATGAGCATACATTAGTCTCTAGTGACTGTTCATTGGGGGTTTTGTCGGAACACTAGTACTTACCAAATCTGGCATAAACATCCGTCACAGCCTGGTTCATGGCCATGTCGATCAGCCCTCTCCCCAGGCAGAAGTGAGGGAACAGCAGCAGGCCTTTCTTCAGCCACTCATTGAACATCAGCAGAGACTGGCAACACACATATACTTATTAATACACATTTCACTTGGGTGCAGGATTGAAAGACAACTTCAACATACTTATTACTGAAAGTCATTATTATCCTGGATATGCATCACTACATCATCTCAGCATTGTGTTTATTTATCTCTGCTCAGTTGAAAGAGTATAGATGTGTGCCAGTAAAACCATTTGGTAAAAAGAACCATCTCCATATTTCAGCAGAGCAGGGAGTCACCTGTTAGCCTGTCAGCAGCAGCGTCTCTGCCCTTTCCCCCCTGACTTTTGTTTCCTCTAATTTCTGTTTTTCTCTCTTCTTCTTAAATAATTACTCGCCAGTTCAACAGGTCCCATCACTCTCATTGTTTATGTTACTGTTATTCTGAGCTTCAGACCTTCTGCTGCCCCGGCTACACATTATTAATCAGCCTCAGGGTTTGAACAAAGTCTTGAAAAGCTTCATTTGGATCGAGGTAAGTTATATGCCAGAATTCAAAAACACAATTATTAACAGCCCATCGTTTCCTTGACACCATTACAAAAAGGTTATTTTCAAGTGTTTACTTGTGATTCACAGTCAGAAAGTTTCTCTGAGATCCCTTACTCTAGAAAGTAGCAAGCATTTTGTTAATTCAATAGCTTATATAATAAACAAAGTGACAATATACGTTGATGGCTTTGTATACCCCTTAAAGAGTTAAAACAAGTGTTTGAATTTTACTCGTACGCCCTTACGTCTTTTTAAATGTTTCTCGATTTTCTCATGAAATATATCAAAAATGCATCTTTGCAGTGAAGATATTGACCCATAGGGAATCATTAAATGAATTGTCCTTCCTTGCTGTGGGTTGAAAGGTAAAAACAACAAAAAAGTCATCTGGCAATTATTTTTAAATCCATACATCCTTACCAGATTGTTTTCAAAGAGCTCCAGGATGAAGGTGATGGCGCTGCTGTTGATGCCTATGAACAGGTTGATGCAGGACAGAGACACGTATGCAGTACTGGGGATGTCGAATATGTAGGACATGGGGTACATCAGGGGCGTCACTGACCACCTGGAGGAAAATAAGTGTTTAAATATATATATTCTTCTGTTTAGATTTCCTTGATGTTGACTTGGGCTGTAATTCAGTTCCTCTTTTTGTTGTTAAGAGGTGACATATTCTGATAAGGCATTACTCACCTGCACAATAATATATATAATCTTACAAAAATTAACCATATACAATGAATAGAATACTTACCCATAGAGCAGAAGCAGAGTTATTAGTGCTGGCAGGTTGGATGGTGATGTGTAACACTTTTTATCAAAAGCCAGGAAAATGCCAACCACCAATGCAGTGCTGAGGGAGTAGTTAACCTAGGGAAGAGATGAAGCATTCGCATGAAGAAAAGGAACAGAAACATCTATTAATATACTAAAATTAACATATGTCCAAACCAAATTGGCTTCAAGGAACAATCCACAACATCTGTTTGAAGATTAGTTTATATGCACACATGCCACATGTGGTTAATCACTTTTAATGATTTGAAAACTGCACATCTTTCAAGTCTTAAAGGAGAGGTGTCATGCTTTTCCGGTTATTACCCGTCCCCTTGTGTGTTATGAAGGTTTTTATGCATGTAAACGGTGTGCAGAGTCAAAACCCTCAAAGTACACCCTGTAGCGAGTAAAACTCTAACACAGAAAATACCTCCCCAAAACGCCTCGTTGGAGATACGTCATTGTCCATTTGAGTCTTCCATTTCGTTCCGGGTACGGCATGATGTCAAGCGGTACCCGTAACGAAATGGACCAATCCCGAAGAGCCGTTACGTTACGTCCGCGGAGCCGTTACGTTAAGCCCCCGCTGATTGGTCCAAATTAACCGATCCACGGACTTCCTCACACACACATCTGTGTGCAGGGAGCAGGCAGCTCAGCTGATTTCTCCTCCCTGGCTGCAGGCTGATAACAGACAGTTGGGATCGCGGCAAAATTCTCTCTGCAGACCCATTCTCACAGCGTTTATCAACCTTTTTCTTACTCAATCTCAAGCCACACTTATTGTTTTTACTTCGGATGTGAGTTTGTGTGTGCTCAGGATGAGTTTGGCTGTGTTTCGCTATGTATCCTAAACAAGGAAACAACACCTCCACGGAGCTCAGCGCGATTCACAACGTCCCGACCAATCAGAGCACACTGTGCTCACAGGGAGGGTGGGGGCTGGAGCTTTTGGAGCTACAACGAGCCGTTAAAGGCAGATAGTGAAATTCAGTGAATACAAGTAGTTTACAGAGATGCTGTATGAGAAACCAATGTGAGTTTGGAAAAATGCACAGTATAAATCTATTCTAGTAGACCTCAACAATGGAATTATGATCAGTGGAAATGGCCATGACACCTCTCCTTTAAAAGAAACTCAAAACACAATTGTACAAATTAGCCTTTTAGGAAGCAAACTCCTGCTATCTGCTGCACTTTCTCAATGCATTGCTATGCATTCTAACCTGTCATCTGATTGTGTGTTGAATTTGCATTATCCCCCTTTTATTGCACAATTTCATCATTGTACCTTTAATTTAAATGTATTTTTTATATGTCTACTATTTGGTCTTTTTTGTTTTTTTTTATGTCTTTTACTGGTAACTGTATGGTGTGTGATTTCTGTGAAATGTGAAGCACCTTGAACTGCACTTGTTGTACAAAAGGTGCTATACAAATAAAGATTATTATTATTATTATTATTATTATTATTATTATTATTATTCATTTCAGCATTAGCAGGGAGCACATTATATATTGACTCCAGCACTGATTGACTCACCATGTCCCAGAAGAAGTTGGCCACCCAGTAAACCACAGGGCTGACCCCGCTCACAAACTGCAGGTGTTTGGCCTTGGTCACTCGCTCCTGGATGAGGTAGAGGACGAAGCTGGCGGGGATGAAGGACATGGCGAAAATAACACAGATCGCAACCACAGCGTCTACTGAAGTGTTCAACCTGAGGAGAGAAGCAGAACAAGTGATTGTTGTGATTGTGTGATTATGTAATTAATAACAAACAGTAAATGGCAACTTGGGATGGTGGCTTTACAGAAAAATCCAAATTAAAGTGCTTTTAAATCAAAATAACACTTATTAGCTTTCTTTTAAAAATAAATATATAAAAATAATAAAGTAATTTGCAAATGTACAGTTGGGTAGAAGTCTATTTTTAAAACAATTAAAAAAAGTAACTCATGTTAAGTTATATCTTCAATTTACTTTAAATGTAAACTATTTTCTAAAAATTATAGATTCATGTATATACATTTATTTTTATAAACGGGGAAATAACAGAGAAAGAACAGAAGGCGTTTTATCTGCTCAAAAAAAGAAAAGAAAAATATATCTTTCAAGTTTATAGCAATACAACATTTGTTTTCATGTGCGAAAAAAACAATTTTAAAACACAATTTATTTGTATTAATATTAGTTAAACACTCACACTGTGACTTCGGACAGCTGCTCCTTGGTGAGGTTCAGAGGGTGGTTGATGGCGGTGATGCCAAACTCCACAGGTCTGGAGGATGGAGGCAGGAAAGCCCGCAGGATGGCGTTATTGGCCACGTTCATGAAGGCCACCATGGCGTGCCAGCCTTTGTTATTATACCAAACCTGAGGAAGGAGATCAGAGTTAACTGAACACTTTACACCAGGGGTGTCAAACTCAATTTCATCGCGGGCCACATTCGCATTATGGTTGCACTCAAAGGGCCGGTTGTAACTTCAAGACTATATAAAAATACATATATAAATGTTTAATATATAAAATAATGTATTATATTTCATTATTGCCTCTGCATTGGATTATTATCGGATAGGGTAATAACTTCATAATTAACTACGTCTGAAAGCAGAAGTCTAGGGCAAATAATTGCAAGTCTCTTAAGTGAGAATGTCACAAAATGATTTAAAGAGAAAAGCAAAATTCTGAGAAAAAAAGTCAAATTTGAGATGCATTGTGGGACATGTAGTTTATGGGCAACGTGCTTCTGTAAATCGGCCTGTAACCGTATAATAAACGTATTATATCTTTTGCAAGCTCTTGTGGGGCCGCATGAAGTGAAGTCACGGGCCGGATTTGGCCCCCGGGCCTTGAGTTTGACACCCCTGCTTTACAACCACAACCTTCTGTGACAATTACAATCCTGATCTACAACACCGGGCGTCGTGAGCTGACCTTCCTTATAGAAACACCTCAATTACTTTAAGTGGAGACCAACGCTATGAAAGCATTTACAGCCAACGTCCCTGTGACATGAATTGCAGTGTGTTGTATAAAATCAATGCTGCCCCTTGCTGCTTTGCTTTTAGCTGTCCATCCCACACATACCTTAACATTGAATTCACTTTCCATGTAATGCAAGAAAGGACCAATCTCCCTCAGTGCACGTCGAGAATAGTGTCCCTGTGAAAGAAAATTATCATTATAAACCAATTTGATGGACTTTTTGCATGACACTCATGTTTAAAAAGAAAGACAGTGCGTACCGCTGTGATGTTGAGCATTCGCCCCAGTTGATGGAAGAAATGCTGGATGTCTTTGGGGTTGACGTTGAGGATGGGAAGCTGTCCTCCGACTGACAGACCTCCATACCTGGGGACAGAGAACATTTAAACTTAGTGTCCCACATCGGCTACACAAGAGAAAGAAGAAGTGAAACGGATTAAGCGCAAACTGTTACCTTTGTTCATTCACCCAGTATTTGCTCTTTAAACTGTGAAATAAAAGACATAATTGAGTTAAACAGAAAGGTAAATGATATGTTAGTAAAGGGGTCATACTCTTAACAATTCTGAGTAATCATAGCTTGTTTGCAGCATTTTTATTATCTGTCTATTTTAATGCAGGGTTTCTCATCTACAGAGTTTTGAAAACATCGTTTTTCTGTCACTATAAACTTTTTGTCACTTCTTTTAAAACTTCATACAGTATAGCTTTTAAGGTGGTTTTACACACGTTTCCTTCTTTAAATCCCCCTGTTTGCATCAATTAAATGCCGATTTCAGTTATATTTAAACCCACCTGGCCCTGATGAGAGTGGGGTAGGTTTTGACTAGGTAGTCAGAGATGTTCCTGTCCGTCATGTCCAGCATGGTGTCCCCTGTGACCTCGAGGCGCTGCCGGGGGGGCAGACCTCCGGCTCCTGGGGGGCAGATGGGCATCATGGTGAGCTTCTTACTGGAGCTGCACTCGCAGGACGGAGACGGGTCTCTCTGGTTCCACTCTGGACTCTTTAAGATGTCGCTGACCGCAGGAGAGGCGTCAGGATACTGCCACTCTGATGTGCTGTTCATACAGGGCATTCTGTGGGGGGGTAAAAAGGTGAGTCACCAGTTATTTGAGAGAACAATGGATATGTAATCACATAAGATGACTTTCATGTTAGCAGGTAAGTTACTGCATCTGAGTTAAGGGGAGACACTAAAGGGGGATCAAGGTAAACATATTAACACATTAATATCAGCATGAAACTTCCCCCGGGTTATTACTCACATTAAGTCTATTATGTTTTGATTGCCAGTCCTCTAAAATGTTATATTAAAGAAATCTGAACATTCGATAAAGCCAGGTTCAAAATTCTTGTTTCATTTTGGAAAAAAACGTCAAAATATACATTGGGATGAAACTTGAACATTTGGTGTACTCAATTGCTACTTAAATGATGATGAAAAAAGCTCATTTTGACATAGCCTTTTAGATTATGTATTATACAATTCCATATATTTAGCAAATTCCATCTAGTCTTGAAGTATGAAGAGTCCTGATACTCACTTTAGTGGGTCTCCTGCCATGCAGCGTGTCCCCAGGCCCGGTCTGTCCAGTAAGCGCTCAGTGAAGCGCTTCATTATGGGGTCAAAGGGCTGCTCGTTACTAAATGGGGACGAGAAAATGTAAAGAAGAAAATCAAGTTAAAGCCAGTAACATTACATTTTTTGTTTACATTACATGACATGTTACTTGTTAGACGCTTTTATCCAAAGCGACTTACATACTCAATACTGTGGGCAATCCCCACAGGAGCAATTTGAGGACACAACGACATGCTGACTGCAGTGGGGTTTGAACCTGTGACCCCGTTCCGAACACCAATGCACAACCCACTGCGCCACACACCTCCAGTACAGAATCATTAAAAGCGGTTTTATCACAACCAATCCATTAGCAAGGGTTATGGCAATTTGCCATTTCATAGCATGGTTGAGCGGTCTAACCTGAAGAAGGTGAACTGCTGTCCGTACATCCAGGGGGTCAGAGTCAGGCTGGGGTACTCTCCGAACGGAGGGACGACCATGGTGGAGATCAGAGCGATCAGGACAAAACTGGCAGGAAGGACGATCTGAAATCACCAAAAACACAAGTGAGCAAGTTGCTAAACTCAGCTGTATCAAAAGCAAACTATAAAGAGTTTAAACCACTATAAAACACAGAGAGGTATAATCACATTTTGACACATTTGCATACGAGTTATGTTTTCCACTATTACAATATTTTATTTTAGACAAACATATCCCCTTTGTTGCCAAGTTTTTCCTCAATGGACTCCCAGATGATATATCCTGACATTAATGATGGTGTCCTTTTAGTTAAAATACAGTAGTACTTGTCTGCAGTACATAACATTTTCCAATAAACAACACGTATGTATGTCATCACTCACACCCCTCCCGACTGTGTACCTGTGCCAGGAAGTCTTTAGTGCTTCTGATGGCGTGATGAAACCTCTTCACCAGCAGCGCGTGGAACTGCTTCAACACCAGACAGGACCCTTTCACCTGCATGGAGCCCTTTCCTGCACTGCTGTCTGATGCACCATGGGTAATGCCGTTACTGTGCATCCCACCATTTTGTTCTGCGATCAACAAGAACATATACAGTAAGTTATGTACAGAAATGTTCTATATCCATACCTTTTGCTAAAGAGACAGTTTTAGATTCCACTGAGCAAGGCACATCAACTTGTCAGAGGTTTTTGATTTGTTCCATTAGCTGACAAGTGACAAATAACAAATGTATGGTTATAAATGAATTAGAATTTAAAGTAGTGCTGTGCTAGAAAAGAAGACTAATATATTTTATACTGTATTTTATACCATTAAAGGTGGGGTAGGTAATTTTGGAGAAACCAGCTCGAGATCGCTAGAATTTGAAAATACACCACCGGAGAAAATCTGCCACTTCCTTATAGAGCCCCTCCTCCAACACACACGAACGCGCACATGACCAATGAGGGCAGGAGATAAGTTTGTGCACAGATGGAAGGCTGACAGGCAGGTAGGCCATCCAGTTATTTTAGCCGGGCCGGCTAAAATGATTGGTCGTGCTTTTTACAGTACCACGGCTTCCACTGATGACATTTTTTTATGGATTTTTGGTCAAAGCACTTAAGATATTCATTGCTATCGGGATGTTAAGAGCATTCCATGGAATATAACAAAAAGTGTATCTCGAGCCGGTTTCTCAAACTTACCTACCCTACCTTTAAATTGGTAACAGAAAAGCACATACCTGGTCAAAAAAGTACCTTCACATTTAAATAACAAACACGTCTGGCACATACTGATTGACCCAAGTTCAGAAGATTAAATTAAAAGCGGCTTTCATTGCCAGAATTCTGTTGGCTCTCAGGTTTCTGACCTTTATCACCCTCTACACCAACTTCGTTTGTTCTCCGCTGTAATATCCACTGTTCTAGAGGAGGGAGTGACATACGAGACACAAAACAAACGCACACAATCTAGAGGGTTAAAACACAAAGGATGCACATGGCGATAAGACAAGTAGCTAAAGTTGAAGATAGGGAATTAACAATAAAACTTTGCTCTGAGGGATTTACAGCAGGTCAGAGACGTAAAACAAGGAAAAGGCCATGTGTAATATCTGTGGTGGGATTTACCAGGAGTGGTGCCATTATTCGCTGCCTCTCCATCAGCAGTGACCTTTATGAAGATCTGGGAAAAAAAAGAGATGAACTTTGGGAAACTTTCTAAACTTTTCAAGCGATAGTTCTTCTTCTTAAGTTCAGAAAACCAGTGATATACGTTTCCCAATTTCACCTTATTAAACATAACTTAAAGTGGACCTATCATGCTATATTTGAAACATATATTGTAGGGCCATACCTATATAAAACATGTCTGTGAAGTTTTTTTTTCAAAATACCAAACAGATCATGCATTTTAGCCATGCCTCATTTCGCTCTATTTGCTCTTTTCCAGCCCTGTTTTTGCAAGGGCTGATTCTGTGAGAAGTCTTCTTCGCTGCTTTTGTGGCAGACTACAGTGCCACTTACAGGCCTGGCATATGTACTACAGCGTCTCCAGCGCTTTCGAGCGGCAATGGCCGTGGCCGTGACCCAACCTCTCATTCCCCTGATAGGTGGAGAGTTGCCCATATAGGCGGAGCTCCCTGTTTCTGACGTCAGAACAATTTCAAATCTGTATCAGCTCCGTTGCAGCCCCGTTTTTAGAGATTTGGGTATGGAGGAAAAGAGAGAGGGTTGTGTTTTCTGACACTTGGTGAGTTCCCTGACACACCGGGGACACATATTCATGTATAAAAGACGTACAAAAGTGCATTTTGCATGATAGGTCCCCTTTAAAATAAAAATAAAAGTATTTAGATGTTGAGAGGAAACATAATGCCATCCTATACACTACAGTATGCACATATTTTGCATAGAAATGTACGCAATTAAAGTAATTTGTCTTGTTTTTCAAATGATTTACTGTCTTTGAAATGTATATATTAATGTGGCACTTTAATAGAAACACAGGAGGGAGAGAGACGCAACAAATGCCATATTCAAACCATGCCTTTGTAGTTCATTACTGGAAATGATTTAACACATATCAAATCTAATGTAGTGTAAATGTAGAAGCAGATTCCATAACCTTTATTTTTAAGAAAAAAATACTTTATGCTGTTTGCAGAAAAAAATCACTTGTTAGGATGGAGTTTTTTTTATTCCACAGTAGGTAATGTTCAACACCAAGTCCTCCAATAAAAACATTTCAAAAGGTCATTGTGTCCTTCAATGGAATTTTTATAAGCAACGATATTAATATTTTTCCAAATTGAACCATTTGTTCAATTTGATTAACGGTGCTCTTTTTCTTGAAGATCAGAATTCACAAAATGTAAAAATGGGGCTTTATCAAAAAATCCAAAATTCCCAAATAAAACATTATGTTAAATCCTGGAAGCTGTATTTTGCCATCTGTAAATGCAGCATTAAAACACCTCAATAGACAGGTTCAGTCAGTCCCTACCTCCTCTAGAGATGTGTCGGAGATGCCAAAGCTGCTGAGGCCCATGTCACCCAGCGTCTCCTCCAGCTCTCTGAACAGACTGGCGTACGCTCGGTGTTTGAAGCCTTTACTGGGGAGCAGGTAGGTCAGCTCCTGGCCGATCGTCTCGATGAGTTTGGCTTCAGGGACGTGGTGGTGGATGAGGCTGGTGATGCTGCTGATATCCCCTGGGAAGAAGACAGAACATCATCACTTATGGAGACGGTAGTTTAAAATGTTTCCTAAAAATAGCAAAGCTCATGAAAAAGACTGAGGAAGAGAAACTGCTTATCAGGCCAAAAAACGTAAGTAAACACTATTATTCAAGTACTAAAATAGATGAGTAAAGCACAGTGTCCTCTGGCTGAGTTAGGAGGAAAATGCACATGGATCAATATCACTACTGAATTATAAATGTGAGAAACTGTGTGTTCTGCTTCTGTATCTGTTTTACAACTTGGATAAGTGGGACACTCGGGAGAATACCAAGCAGTGCACACTTTCTTGAGAGGATCTTCATTGACCTAAATGCCGTGAAAGTTAATTTTCTCGATTCAATATGTTGCTATGAGTTTTAGGGAAACAGTCTTGGTAATTTCCCAGCATTGTCAAACAAAAACACACCAAACTGTCCAAATTAGGCAGATTAACTGAGTTTCTACAAGGTTAAACTCTTTTGCATAATACATTTGGATATTTTTCTTACATTTAACTTACATTTTTGCTAATTCTTTTCAATCCTATCTATATTTCCACCTCTTTGCCCATTGCTCTCCTGACACCTATAAGTGACATCACAGAGATGCCATATTTTATACAGTCTGTGAGAAATACCCTGATTTCCTAGATCCCATCCCTAACTTTAACCACAACTACATGCCTAACCCCAACCCTTACTCTAATATTAATTTAAACCTGTATCAACTGGAAAATTAAGTTTAAACCCTGCTAAACAGCTCTTTGAAGAAGTAAGGCCTAGTTAAAATGTCTACACTTTCCTTAAATGCCCCAACTCCAAGGGCTTGAATCGAAAGTGGTTCATCAATAAGCAGGGTATATGCAGGAATCCTGAAGTCAAATTTAATACCTTTTAAGACCTTTTTTAAGACCCTTTCCATACATTTTAAGACCTCATCGCCACTTCAAGTTTTAACCGGTTACATTGGCGACACACTTTACCTCACATTTACTATATACAGTATTGATTGTCCTTCCTCCTTATCTTCCAACCATTTGGACACAAACTTGCATTTCCCCATAACGATGTTGTTTAACAACCGGCGTAAACGGACCTTCGCGCGCTATCAAGCAGTGAGCGTGCGATGTCCTGTTCAGATGACGTCAAATCCAACGGGATGCCATAAATAAACTACACAGAATCACACTACACACCTACGCAATGATTACATTCAGGCAAACTGTAGAATACAACCTCTTTGGACAATTTATATACTTATTGAAAACAAGCTACAAAATGTAATACCTTGGAAAATGCTGTTTAATACTTTTTAATACTTTTTAATAGCCTTAATTTTGGCTAAATTGATTTATCAACTTTTAATACGTTTTAAGACCCTGCGGACACCCTGATAAGATAGAAGTACAAGAGAACATATTGCAAAGAAACAGAGGAGATGCAGCATGCATGTTAAAACAGCTACACTTACCATCCAGGGCTCTGTCTATATGATGGGAATGGTTCTGAGAGAGATCTTTGTAGCTGGTACAGATGGAGCAGGAGCAGGAGCAGTCTGAGGCACAGTCACAGTCATTCTGATGGAAAACAGAACACAAGAACACCTTTTAACAATGAAAAAATCCACCCTGTAAACGAAGAATAAACAGACATGGCAGAGATCATTGTGGCTGTGTCTCCAGCTTACCTCCCTCTTCTTGAGATCCTTCATGCGTCGCACAAGTGTCAAATAGAAACCAACTCCAAAGCAGTTCTTGAGGAACAGGGGGGATCCGCTGCAGTGGAGCTGTCCATTGGAGATGATGGCGATGCGGTCGCTCAGCAGGTCGGCCTCGTCCATGTGATGAGTCGACAGGATCACCGTCCGGCCTGCACAGGGTCACACCTTTAATGTCATTTCAATCAACGCAGTTTCTTTAGACAAGCAAAAAGTGCACCATAACTTTTTTTTTGCCTTGTAGCAGTGTTACTGAATGTTTCCGTTTGATCAGCTCACTACTTAATTCAAGTGCCTCAGGAAAGCTGTGATGCTACAAAGGATTGGTTTTATTCTTCAGTGTAGCAGTCAAAATGGACCTTAAGGGTGAGAATTGTACTGGTGGGCGTAACATGTTGACCTAAAGGGCTTAAAAGTGGAGCCTATTGGATTAAATTAAGACTTTTTACCAGCTCTATATTTCAGTAGGAGGTCCCAAATGGATCTCCTGGAATAGGGGTCCACTCCCGAGGTAGGTTCGTCCAGGATCACCACTTTGGATCCTCCAGTGAAGGCCATGGCGACTGACAGTTTCCTCTGCATACCGCCTGAAGTGTGTGTGAAAGGCAACAGTTAGGAGTTAAAACAATGATGGAGGAATGAAGGAAATGCTGCCTGGCTCTCTTTCCTAAACTCAGAGGAATTAGCAGTCCACCTGAGAGGTTCTGAGCCTCGTCGTCTCTCTTGTGCGGCAGCCCGAGGTCCAGAAGCATCTCCTCCACCTCTTGCTCCGCCTCCTCCTGGGAGCGGCCCTTCAGCAGCGAGTAGAACAGGATGTGCTCTGCCACCGTGAGACTGGCACGAGAAAAAGGGCAACAGTAATAAAGAAGTTTACAGAGGAAGAAAACACAATTGTTGTTTTGACAGTTTTTGGAAAGGTGAGTCAGAACCTGGCATTCAGCAACTGCCAATGTGTGAATAATACATGTGATTTGAATAAAGACTGTTCCTAACTTTATTACAACTGAAAACATTCTTAACTTTTAAATTACTTTTCCTCAATACCGAGTTAAGTAGGTGTATGCATACACAGTTTCGCTTTTTCTCCATTTGAGCCTATTGTTTCCTATACCCATCAGTTTTACCCATGTTGTATACTTTTTTATTGTATATTTGTTCAGTTTTTTTGTCATTTGAGGTTGTCTTTCTTTATCTAAGATGTTCTGTCTATGTATCTTCTCTGTTCTAGTTCTCCAAAAACGTTATAACACAAAAAAGGAAACTTCTTTTACTGTAAGAACTCCAGTCCAATATGAAATGTAACTCACTATTTGAAGAGGATGTTGTATTGAGGGCACATCCCCATGGAGGAGCGGATGGTGTCCATGTCAGTGCGGATGTCGCTTCCATTAACGTAGGCTGTGCCAGATGTAGGGGGGAACAGGCCAGTCAGGATGGACCTGGAGACAGAAGATACAGCACCAATACTATTAAAAGAAGGTCGTTATCGCTGTGCTAGGATGTTCAGGGGATCACTTCACACGTTTTTTATTTGGTAATTGATTTTCAGCTTACATCGTGGTGGTTTTCCCAGCCCCGTTGTGCCCCAAGAAGGATGTGATCTGGCCTTCGTAGAAATTGATGCTGAGATGGTTCACAGCTGGACGAGAACTTCCAGAAAACTGCATCACCAGGTCCTCGATCTGAACTCCTCTCTTCAGGCCCAATGGATCGGCCTCAAAGAACATCTGACCTGCATGGAAAAACAGACATTAAAAGACTCAGTTAACCTCTTTTTTTAAAAGATGCCTTTATATCATATAATGGCCGAGAGTAGAAATGAAGAGATTGTGAAATATAAAACACAAAAAGAAAGCAAATGTCCAATTTATGGGAATTTCACATAAAATGTCATTTAAATGAGCAAGAAGCAAGGACATTGGCTGCAAATGGGCCTGGTCATTAGTCTCAATTGACCTGAATCTTTTGAGAACTATGACTTTGATTTATTAGCATTTTTTTATAATTATTTATTGTGTGTGTGTTAGGTTTAACGGCCAAGGTGCAGTCAAAACTGTTTCAGTCTGCGATGGAAGATCACATAACAAGAATATCAGTTTCCCTTCTTTGCATAAATGTTTGAAAATGTTACCATGTAACCTAGAAACTCATATTTTGGTCTTTGTTTTTCTCAAAGTTCTTACTTCGTGTACTCATTTAGAAGTATGGTTCAACATATTTTTATTGTTTTTAGCACAATGACAAAATAAAAATCTATTTACATGCAACATCAAACCTACAGACTCCCTAACAGCAATACTTGCCATTAACTCTCCTTTATTATCACAAGTATTATTTTTCTGCTGTTCCCTTTCTGTCTTTCCCATCCAGGTAACAACGAGGACATCTAGTGGACAGGAAGGGGAACACACCATGTTCCCCTTCCTGTCCACTAGATGTCCTCATTGTTTCCCCACATTCAGTTTGTGTCACTCTCCAGTAACCACTATTCTGAGGCTTCAGCTCTGTATTTGTCTCCTCACCTTCTGAGTCGTGACCCTCCTCCACGTGGTTTTGGGTTTCTTCGTGTTGTTTCAGCAGCTCCTTCTTTCTCTCCTGCTGTTCCCTCTTACTTTGGTGCTTGCAGCCTTTTCTCCTCGCTGAGCCGTTACAGGTGTGAGTGACCGGTGAGCCCCTGCTCTCGACGTCCTGCTCCACCACCATGTCCGGCTCCATTATCACAGCATCTGAAGGAGACAGATCACAGAGGCATTTCCTGGTTAGGATGTGTTTGATAAAGTTTTGTTTTGAACATTTGAACAGGTCCGCTTTCATAGTCAACAACAATGAGGCGTGTACATCGATGCTGCAAGTAATGGTAGAAATTAATTATGCATTTTAATTCCAACAGCAATACATGTTAACAAGAGGAGCTGATGATACAGTTACATGGCTTTTGGGGAATTATGTAGAAACTTCGCCCCCCTTTTATTTATTGGCTTAATACAGCTGCTAAGACCTGTTTATAAACTACAACAGAATGCTAATGTAAGGTCCAGAGCAGCAGTTACAAGTTGGTTTTATTTATATTTATTTCTTCTTCTTGCTCTTTTGATGACTTGAGTGCATTGTACTAAGCTGTCTCTACCGAGATGCTGACTCATTTCCTTCTCCAGGAGTGCTAGAGGAGGCAAGGGAGAAAATGTATCTCGTGGGCGTCTTGACTCATTATAAACCTTATATTGACCTTTCCAATGCAACCACCTCCCTTCAGCAGGAATTCGAAGCTTTTCCGGGGAGCACGTATTTTCTTTGGCAAAAATGAAGAGCAAGCTTTCACTTCTCTCACCCAGCTTTCACTTGCAAAACTGAGCAACAAACATAGAGCGTTTCGTTTGCAAATCTATCCACCTTGGGACCCGTTATCGTTTGTGGGGTCAGTTTCTATCGGCCTCGTGTAAATAATAGGGCTATACGCACGCGAAACTATGCAGATACAAGCAGTTTTCTCCTCGTGTAAACGGCGCCTGAGTCACAGTCGTCAATTATCAGGCATGTAAGAGATATTAATGTCAGTGACACTAACCTTGATACGCCCTTTCTGTGTTTGAGGTTGCAGATAGTCGCCAGTATGAAGACTGGAATGGGAAGTAGAAAGGTCGACCAATGCCATACTGTCCTATGAAGGGGAAACAAATATTATCCTCAGTGTATAAAACTGGTGGTACCAAAAAAGCTGTACAATATGGTGTAAAGTGAATCAAAGAGTATATTAGCAGTCCAACCTGGGAAGACATTATCCAAATACCAGGCCAGGACGCCGTAAAGGACAGCATCAAACACCATCATGAGGATGGAGGTGAGGAAGGAGTAGTTGTCTTTCTCTAAAGGACTGGTCATGATGTTGTCCCACTGAAGACCCAAACCCTGCTCCTCATACCGCGACAGGTACTCTGTGCCGAAGCCAAAGGCCACCGGAGACAGCAAGCTCTAGAAAAAAAACAGAGAAACACATTTATGAAATATACTTAATTCACTGACAAGGGATTTGATACTCACTACACTAGCAAATGCTTTTGCTTGAACTGTATCTATGTTTTTTTCTGTATACATCACACACACAAAATAGACATACAGCAGCCATTTTCATGGTCTTGGTGATGCGGTTCTGCCAGGCAAAGCAGAGGACATGAGGCAGATAGAGGGTGAAGTAAATGATGCCGCAGCAGGCCGCTGCCAGGTTAGCCTTGTTGAAAAACACACTCATCAGGAAGCACTGCATGATGGTGGTGACGGTGAAAGTCAGCAGGAAGAAGAAGACGAGAAGGGGGTTGCTGTAATTCAACACCTTTCCACCCTAAGAGAAAAACAGATATATGATTTATTGAGGAGTGTTTCATTTATGCATCAAAATACTACTGTTAACAGAAATGGCCAGTGAGGAAAACATTTCTCCACATAAAGCTTTTTAAACCCAGCCACAAGAGGGCCCCATTGCATCCTACAAAACATTGACCCTCCAAACCAGCAAATAACTTGATCCTTGTTTCTCTACAAGCATGGGTTTCTTCTCTGTCTCATTCTCTCTCCTGTTCTCTCACCATGATAATGATGGTGAGCAGCGCGGTGCTTGTAGTCATCATGATGAAGCTGTCGATGAAACACGTGCACCAAATGACTCCGTTGTTGACCCCCATGGTTTTGAGAGTCTCCTTGAGACGCAGCTCCTTCTCCAGCACGATGCTCTTCACAGTCATGGACACAGAGTAGATCCAGGCCAGCACCATGAACATGGGGAAGCAGCGGTTCAGCGTGATCATGAAGCTGGAGGAAAGGAGTGAAGACGATTAAGAAAAACTCCTTAAACCTGTGGGAAACATTTTTTTGATTAACTATGTTCTCCCCAATATAAATACACATGATGAGATGTACTACTAGTCACTAATAAACTGAAGATTGTGAGTGAACAATTATAAAATGTGTGTTTAGGGAACAAACTTTGAGTGTCTTCAGGGAGGATTTAAAAATGTCCTACTTTAGTGTGGTAATATTACAAAATAACCCTTTGACAGACAACAATTTATGCTGCACAGGTAATCAAACAGAAAGTGCACGAGTGCCACGAATAGTGCAATCTGATAGTGTCAGAGTGGAGGATTTAATATTTAAAACACAGTTTGAATATAAAAGTAAAAGGTCCTCCAGTTCCCTGATGTGTTTACTTGTGTTTGTTTTATTAAATTGAATATCAGGTATTAAACAAGAAGTTAGTACGACAGTGTGCAGGTTTTTTTCTTCACTTTTTCCAGTTGTCCTTCACCTGTAAACAAATGTAATTGTGAACTTTCCTTTTTCAGTTTTTGTTGATGATTGTCGTTGGAATAACACAGCCAGATTTACTCTATATTCACTTTTTTTGAGTACATCTGGTCCTCTATAAAGCTGTTACATAAATGGACAGGTTTACTCACAGGTCATCTACATAGCAGGGATATGGCATCTGCTGGACATACACCCCGAGTGGCCAGTTTTTGCCAGTGTGAAGCTTGAGGATGCCATGTTCAATCATGTCCTGCAGGTAAGCAAATCCTCCCCAGATGTACCTCTGGTCCTCCATGGTGTCTGCTCTGGGGCCGGGGTCCCAGTACCTGAGAGGAGGAGAGTGAGGTGGGGTCAAATGTGGCCAAAGATCGTTCATCCCACAAAAGGTTAAACAAACAATTTATTCAAGCATGTTTTGTGTTGTATGAAATAATCCCAATCAAAGTCTCCTCGCAAAACATAATAATAAAACATCCCGAAGCCAAAGTCTCTTAAGCCTCACACACACTCACACACCACATGCACACTGCTTTTACTTAAGCCGGTAAGTCAGAGGCCCTTCACAATATGATTATTCAATTGTTTGGAGGCAGGACTCCCCATGAGTCCATTACAGCCTGTTGGTGCGCAGGAAACCGCGAAAACATGTCGTTCACCCCGGGGGAGATGAAAGGGAAAGGAAAGTGCATGTGAAAATCTCACAGGGGAGGATGAAAGGCCAGGTATCGAGTTAATATGGAAGCACAAAGAGACTTTAGAAAAACACATTGAGGCCAGCTGGAGAGATTTCTCTGTTCCTCCTTTGAGGAATCTGACAAATCCATATAAACTGCCTGATTAATACGGCAGTTAAACATGAAAAAAAATGAAGGAATTGTAGGTTGTCACGGTGATTTGGTAGTCTAGCAATGCTAGTTGGATCCTACTCAACCCCTTTGGGTGAGTTTACCAGTGAGCTGAAATGATTTCTCTTTGCTAAAAAAATGTTAATACTCTCATTTTTTGTGTGAAAAACCTGCTTCTACCAATAGTTTGGAAACCAAATCGCTTAAAGGATTGAGGATTATCACTTCAGGCTTTAGTGGATAGGAATACAATGTGCTCTTTTACACAAATATATAAATATTTCGGATTTCTTGAGATTTATTTCTTGTGAAATACGTGACAATTTCACAATTTTAGGTCTTAAACACTCAAATGAAACAATCTGAGTTTGGAAGGAAAAGGAAATCAAAAATCATGCACATATACAACGAGTTACGTGGCTTCAGTAGAAACTATACGCTTTATTTTTAGGGGTCGCAAGCAAAAATGATTCAGGGCAGTATTCACAAGAAAACATCACTTGCTGCTACTGACCTGTCTTTGATCTTGTTGGTGCGCTCCACCGCGTCAATGTCCATGCGGATCTTGTATTTGACGTGCGGCGGTACACTATTGGTCCAGGGAAACATGTCAGTGAAGACCACACCGGCCCAGAACTTGCTCTCCTCCAGCAGGTACAAGGCCTGATGGGTCATCTGGGACTCATCCGTGTAAGCAACAAACTTATCCAGATCGATGCACTATAACCAGAGGAGAAAAAAGGGACAGTGGTTTGATGTTGGGGAGGGGTTGTCTGCTACAGCAGGGAGATACAATTCCCTTCTAGTTCTTTAAGGTGTTGTGTGTGTGTGTGTCCAGGTGTAATTTAATTGTGTTAGGGATCAGGTGAAAGCGGGATTTGTTCAATTTGACTAATTATCTCCACAAGGGGATCCTACAATCTGGTAAGAGTATCACATCTCTATCTCTATCTACTGTATGGCTAATCTTGTACATATTTAAACCAATCAGCCTTTTCTTTTCTCATTATTAATGTGTGCCAAAGGACCACTCATGGTTGCAACACCTACAAGTTTCAAAATACATATTTAAATGACTTCTTTATAGCTTCATTGATCGTTGACTCGTCACTTTAAATGACTTTAAAAGTATTGAGGATCCAGCTCTACCTGTCAGTAAGCGTTGCCAAGAATATATCTACCTATCAAATCAATCTTTACATTTCACACACTTTGTTAATGTAGTGTATACTAAATACTGAATGAAAGAAAAACCTTTGTTAATATTCCCGGGGGTATTAGGGTAACAAAACATAAGGTGGGGTCTCTCAGTGCACCAGAAATGTTCCATACGATACCCTGACCTATTGATAAGGATGTGTGCAGTGACGTGGATTTTCATTCGCCCCTTAACAGAACCATCTTTCACTAAGGCGATCTGTTGTCATGGGAAAATCCAAGAGACTACATCTATTCTGCAGCAACACGCACGCACGCACGCACGCACGCACGCACACACACACACACACACACACACACACACACACACACACACACACACACACACACACACACACACACACACACACACACACACACACACACACACACACACACACACACACACACACACACACACACACACACACACACACACACACACACACACAGAAAATGCACTCAGACATGCACATCCAAACACACATGAGCACAACCACTCCATAATCCTATACACTTACTTTCTCTCTTTCTCTCATGCACACACACACACACTCTCTATACAACATGCGTAATTGCTATGTGAAACTCACCACACACACACACACACACACACACACACACACACACACACACACACACACACACACACACACACACACACACACACACACACACACACACACACACACACACACACACACACACACACACACACACACACACACACACACACACACACACACACACACACACACACACACACACACACACACACACACACACACACACACACACACAGCTCTCTAAATCCCCCCCCCCTACCCCTGTGTACGCCGTGTCTAATGTCTCCATTCACATTACTGTACAATACCCTCAAAGAAAGCGGAGGGACCATTTCCTATTCATCTTTACGCGGCTATACATCCACAGCACAATAATGTTCACTCTGAGATGGGCTGAGAAGAAAGACCCTCACTGATACACATGTTCCAATGGGATCTCAGTGTGAGAAACATCCCCCTGTTGGAGTGAGAGGACCTAATGCTAACTGCAGCAGTTATCCTATGGCCCAATGCTCGCTGACAGCTATATCTAATTGGCTAAAGCGGCCTGGATTTGTTTGTTGGGCTCTGAAGGGTCTCGATGCTGAACTTGGAGACAAAGGCCAGATTGAGATGCCCGCGCTGATAGGGCTCTCTCAAAAAACGCAACTCCTGCGCCTTTTAAATCAGCCGAGAGGCGAGAGGGGAGGCGTGGAGGACGGATAGAGTGATTTGCCCTCTTTTATTTCACGGACGCAGGGGTCTGTTTCAATGTGGGGCCATACACTAAAACAGCATTGAGCTCATGGAGGGGGGGGGTGACTCACTCCCACCTACTCCCCACTTCATCACTGGTTCCACAATGAGAGCAGTGGAGGGGGGTGACAGCAGGCTTGTTCTCCCCACCTTTCAGCCTAGGGGACGGAAGAGCGGCTCTATAGCCGTGCTAAGTGGCCTGCTCTGTTTCAAAGGGGCCTGGCTGCAATCTCCTGGGAGCAGACCTGGAGACTGATGCACCTGTCTGCACCGCGAGAGCTGCTCTAACAAGAAAAGACTGAACACTTAGTGCTGGGAACGTGCAACATTTGGCAAATGTTGACAGGAGCAATGAAGAAACTAGGATTATTGCATCACAGTTGTATTCCTCTACCAACCGGTTCAACTAAATGCCAATGCAAATGGCATCATTTCATCAACTTATCCTATGAGATATTTGTGCAAAATGTTCACAATAAGCATATAAGTGATTGAGTTATGGCTACAAACGTGACCCACATATTTAAGTCACATTGACCTCGGCTTCAGTCCACAAAACTCTAATTTAAGTGTACGTTTGTACCTAATTTGAAGGAAATTCCTCAAGGTGTTCTGGAGATTGCGGTCACAAGAATTGGATGAACGGACAATCTGAATCTGGTATTTCAGAGGTATTACACCCTACAATACTTAAATAGATCGACCAACATACAGATAGGTAGACTAACTTGTGTTTCTTACCTCTCCATACTTGTTGAACATGCCTATGATCTGGTCGGTGATGTTAAAAATGTCACTCCAGTTAAAGCTGGGCATGTCCTCCTCCCTTTTTTCCTCAGGACCGTTATACAGGAAGTTAAGAATGTGTCTGGTGGTCAATTCAGTGTCCTGCAGACTGCTGTCCACGAAGTTCATCACTGTCGGGTTTCCCAGCGTGTCCTGCAGCGATTGAGACAGAAGAATAGTTACTGCTTGTGATATGCAAGAACCATGGCCATTTAGCTTGCAGTTTGTTATATTAGGACAATGGAAAATGCCTTTGTGTTGGGTCATAAACATAGTGTTGGATGCTCAAATGTAATGATGATTGTCTGGAAGATGCTGTTGGTAAATTCTTAATTAGACAAGTCAGCCGACATGGGAAGTTCTTGTGGCTTGAATGGGACTTGAATCGATCTCATAGATTCCATACTACTATTGGTGGCTTTTAACAATGAATATGTTATCAATAGGAGCTATTCATGTATTGTACTCAAGTGTCATTTTCAGTTTGAACATAATACTACAGTTCAAATACTTAAAAGCTATACTGATAATGGAACTCTTCTTGGATAACACTATTTATTGGCCTTGGAATTTAATAATACTTAGCTGCAAAATTGGTAATTGTTATGACTGCATCTGTGTGTGTGTGGGTGTGTGTGTGCAGCATTCCTACCCTGATCATGTTCATCTGTACGCTGTTGTTGAAGAAAGCCCAGAGCTGGGGTCCCAACTCCCCCCAGGCCCTGGCCATGTTCTGCAACCTCTCCAACTCCTCAAATGTAGTGTTAGCCTGTACACAACACATGCACGAAAACACACATTAGCATAAAAACGATACCAAATGATTACACTTGAATTTAAAGGTTACAGATTGTTTCATGTGTGCTGACATTTGCTGATGACATTTACATATTACGAATGATTCTTAATGTTCGTGTTTTTCTTAGAAAAGTGATAATTTTATTCAAAAGCTTTATTGTTAGACAGAAATGAGATCCATAAAACTAAAATGTATTGTATTGCAGTTTTATTGCAGACTGCACTCCTTTTCAAACAACATGGATAATAAAAAAGGGAACATTCACATTAGGGCGTTTTCATTTAAAAAGCTGTTTGCTCAAATTCTCATTTACTAAACTCCTCTTGAAATTGAGGTGACTGAATGATATGTGACAGACCAAACAGCCTGTTTTTTCTTTCATTGCTGCACCCTCAAATTCAATTTATTGTTTAATTCTCCACTCTTGTTCCCTTCCAGCCTCACAGAGTTGCTAGCAGAAGACTGCCCCCCCCCCCCTATCCCTCCGCCCACCTCTGTTTTTGTAGTCAGCTCATTCCTAAGAAGGGTGGGGGATCGGATGGATAAAAAACATATATGTAGAATAGTACAATAAATGGAGAAGGACAGAAAAAGTGAGTAGAGAGACTCAGAGGGGGTTTTCTCTCTTACACTCTTTAATATCTTGTGGACGGCAGGGGAGTCGGGGGTGTACAGGATCTTTCCCATCAGCAGGGGCTTGACTGAATTCCACACAATTTTTGTGACAGGGTTGGACTCCAGGGTTTCCATCAGGGCGTTGCAGGAGGGACCTAATGGTAGAAAATTGCAAAGAAAATGAGATTAGAAGAAGAAGAAAATATATATATACAAACAAAAAGAGATGGAGCCTCATGTGGAACTGTCTTATGTCCTCTACACAAAGGTAGCATTTAGAAGACATCAATTAAGTTATTGACAGTTATGTATGCTAAGTTAGTCACTGAGTGATTATTCAACAGGTTCGTAACGGAGAACAAATGTCATCTGTTAAGCACTTGCATGGATTGAACGGTTGAAATGCAAGAAAAGCTGTGACGTCAACGCTGGGTACCAATTTAACACTTCATTAATTCTGAACAGGTTTTCAATATAAAGTGCTAAAAACATTGACAATTTAAATATTCATAGGTGATAAGTATGCAAATGTGGCTGATGATTGTGCTCTTGTTTATCACTATTGTTCCTCAATACAAAGAGAGAGGCTCAAAAAATAAAAAAATAATTTGAAACATTCCAGAAAAACAAAATGTATTACACCTTTGGAATAAATACCTTTTGCTTTCCCTTGATGAAGTTAAGTAATATTCCAAAGTTGCAGTATATTTAACTTTTATCTTTTTAATTAATCTCTATTTGCATAATTAACAAAACATGTGAAATAAATGGCAACTGGCAATTAAAAAGATACAAATAAATGTATGCATCTCATATGCTAACAGCCAAAGCTATTAAAGGGAAAGTGCAATTTTGTATTATTATATTATTTATCACAGTAAAAAGCATATGCACACCATACTACATTCTATAGAGATAGTTAACACTTCTTCACTTACTGGCAGAGTCGTCATAGACATAGTTGCGCTTCTTGGTGGCATTGACCCCCAGAAACATTTTGTAGTTGTTGTCCTCATACCAGTTGAAGGACAGGACCTTAGAGCCCCCTCCCTCTGGGTATCCACAGAAGAGCTGCGACACACTGGACATCATCTGGCTGAATGTGGGGGAACCCTCGGCTTGAAACAGAGCGGAAACCACCTTCAGGAGATCCTGAGAGCTCTCCCGCTTCATCAGCTGTAAAACCATACAGAGGGCTGATCAGTGATCATCATGTCATCTTGACCTACATTACCCCTATGCATTGTCCATAACAACTTAAGAGTGTATCTGTTTAGGTGAGCATGCCTACTTTCACTCGTGTTGTTCTTCACGTGTGGCAAAAACATTAGATTCAAGTCTTAAAACATGGAAGGTATCTAAGCATCAGGGCTGAAACACAAAGACATGATATTCTCACCTCTTGTCTGCAGCCTGCTAGCAGCTCTGTAAGGCTGTATAGGTGCACAGTGGTGCTTTTAGCTAAATGCTAAGGTCAACATGTTAACATGCTCACAATGGTTAGCATGCTGATGATAGCACAACCATCTTAGTTTTTAGTTTTAGCATGCTAACATGTGCTAATTAACATTCTAATCCACAATTGAGGTTTATAGGTAAATTGCTTTCTAATAATCCAGAAGTAGGCTATTGGACAAAGAAATGAGTAGAACACAAGTCATAGGGGTTCATCATCTAAGGACTTTGGGTGTGTTTACCAAATGTTATGGCGAAAAGCCATAACATTTGGTAAACTATACAATATAGTATAGGCAATTAATCTAACATACTGGCAATGCCACCCCTCAAAAGTATGGCTAGCAAGGTTAAGAAAAACGTTTTAAAGGTCCAATGTCATGCTTTTCCGGTTATTACCCATCCCCTTGTGTGTTATGTAGCTTTTTCTGCATGTAAACGGTCTGCAAAGTCACAAACCCTCAAAGTACACCCTGTATGGTGTCCAAATGGACCAATCCGTGGAGCTCCTCACACACACACTCTCTCAGCGGCAAAACTGTGGTGCGCTTACACTGTAGGTGCGCCACGTTTGGGGGTGCGGGGTGTGCGGGGGGGGGGTTGCGGGTGCTAGTGGAGCCTCGCAGATGGGGGTGCTGCAGCCTCCTCAGTACCCCCCCTTCCTGCGTCCATGGTGCTCAGGCTGAGTTCAGGATGAGTTTCGCGATGTCTCGCTGTCTCGCAGACCCCACGCAGCAACCAGGAAATGACACCAGTAATACAGCTCACACTGTCCGCTCCTCACAGCAGCGAGCCCCGCACGGCACCCAGACCCCACGCAGCATTCTCATCTGTTTGTCATTACTGGTGTCATTTTCTGGTTGCTAACAAATGCCATTGTAACACATAATCACTGATGTTCCGCTGTAACGGTGGTGGACTCATCAGAACAGAGTGGGCGAGCTGACCAATCAGAGCACAGTGGGCTCAAAGGGAGGGAAGGGGGGGGGGGGGATTCTAGACGCAACTATGTCTATGACGACTCTGCCAGTAAGTGAAGAAGTGTTAACTATCTCTATAGAATGTAGTATGGTGTGCATATGCTTTTTACTGTGATAAATAATATAATAATACAAATTTGCACTTTCCCTATAATAGCTTTGGCTGTTAGCATATGAGATGCATACATTTATATGTATCTTTTTAATTGCCAGTTGCCATTTATTTCACATGTTTTGTTAATTATGCAAATAGAGATTAATTAAAAAGATAAAAGTTAAATATACTGCAACTTTGGAATATTACTTAACTTCAACAAGGGAAAGCAAAAGGTATTTAATCCAAAGGTGTAATACATTTTTTTTTTCTGGAATGTTTCAAATGATTATTTAATTTTTTTAGCCACAGTGAATACACATACTATACAGAGATGCTGTATGAGAAACCAATGTGATTTTGGAACATTGAACAATGTACATCTATTCTAGTAGACCTCAACAATGGAATTATGATCAGTAGAAATGGCCATTACTTTACATTACATGTCACATACTCAATACTGTGGACAATCCCCACAGGAGCAATTTGGGGTGAAGTGTCTTGCCCAGGGACACAACAACATGCTGACTGCAGTGGGGTTTGAACCTGTGACCCCCTGATCCGAACACCAACACACAATCCACTGCACCACATGCCACCACGCCATGACATAGGACCTTTAAATTAAAAGATATTTGAATAGCAAAAGTCTGAAACATCCTCACAAAAAGGTCATAGTGCAATTATGTCAAAACAGTGTCAAATACATTGACAAGTTGGCATGGAGTTACATGATTTAAGAGAATAAGACGTTACTGTCACATGTCTTAGGTTGCTGGCCAAACTACCAACATCCCAAAGCTTGTGTGCTGTAGATGAGAAAAAAAAAACGATACGCCTTTGAAAGGAACCCAGACCAGTTGTCCCCTTAATTTAAAAATTCCTTTATGCCTGATCATCTGTTGATCAAAGTGGGTTAAATGTCATCCTAAATTATGTTGCGTGTAAATAATTAGCCTTGAGCTATTTGACCTTTTGTCAGATAATGATCAACAGAGAAGGGATATTTATGTCCTTCATATTCATTCATACTGTGTGAATGGAAAAACATAAACAATCACTAGAAAACAATAGTTAGAAAGATAAGCAGACATGTTGGACGTACGCCTCTACTCACACGATGAGGATAGTCTGAGGGCGGCTAAATATCCTCCTATTGATAGAACAAAAATAGCTTCATCCAAGTGCGTTTCTCCATGCCTGTATCATTTCCTTTCTAAATAAATAGTTGGCAGTGTGTCAGAAATCGTAGTTCAGGGTTTTTTGTTTTTTGTCGGTGAGTAACATATTTATCCAAAGATAAAATCACATAATTAAATCAACCTGAAATGTCCTCAAATCCGAGAAATGACTGTTTCAAATGTTTAAATGATATCATAAGGGATCAGGTTTTCAATGGTTTTGAGGCCTCACAAGGAACATGTGTTTTAAGTCATCATCTTATAAAACAAAGCATCTCGGGAGGCGTGTGGCGTTGGGGTTCGGATCAGGGGAGCACAGGTTCAAACCCCACTGCAGTCAGCATGTCGTTGTGTCCCTGGGCAAGACACTTCACCCCAAATTGCTCCTGTGGGGATTGCCCACAGTATTGAGTGTGTAAGTCGCTTTGGATAACAGCGTCTAACAAGTAACATGTCATGTAATGTAATGTAATCTCTCAACAGACTTTATCAAAACACATAATCACACTGTTATTCAGAGTTCAATTAAGCTAATGACTCATTGATTTTCTAAGCCCTTCACCCTTCAAAGCAACCTTTTACGTGTGAATATACACATGCAAGCTATACCCCTGATTTATTTCACTCTCACTCCCCTTTTCCTCCTTTTTCTTATTTATTATTACAACACACACACACCGAGACACACACACACACAAAATTAAAAGGAAGGAGAGGTGGGTAATGAGAGCATTTGGCTCGCCATTCTGTCACCACGGTGATACGAAGGTCCCACCTACAGGATGTGTCACCTCAAAGGAATGTCTCTCTCTCTCTCTCTCGACGACCCCCCCCCCACACACACACCCCCAACACACTCTCTCTCCTACACCCTGCCTTTTAGGTAAAGATGGGACACACCACCCCCCCGGGACATACAGTAAACTTGCCGAAACACACAACAGTCCCAGTCACACTGTCTGCTTTTTTGTGTGTGTGTGTGTGTGTGTGTGTGTGTGTGTGTGTGTGTGTGTGTGTGTGTGTGTGTGTGTGTGTGTGTGTGTGTGTGTGTGTGTGTGTGTGTTTTATCTGATCCGGATGGTTACTAATTCCTTTTCTTTATGGCGGTCATTTTTGAACGGGAACACCATGGGTGTTACAAAGTTGAATAAATCGTCCAAAATGCAATGAAAGTGGTGATCAGCCATTTTATATGTTCAAATGTCTACTGTGAAGGATATCATAAAGCCTTAATGCAATCGAATGTAAAACAAAAAAGTTATGATTGATGAAAGTAGTAAATCGGTCAGATTTGACCCGAAGACAACAGGAGGGTTAATACTTATTTATATACATACTCTTACATTTGACACTTTAGATATGTCAGTTCACTAACCTTTTTGAATGCTTCCCCTTGTTTATATACCATGTATGTTTACTCTATTGTTTTTGTATTTTATTAACACATGTTTGTCTCTTTATCTCTTTATTTGTGCCTCTAATCTGCTCTGTTGTAGTAATGCTGTACAGTTTCCTGCTGTAAGACAAATAAAGGATATCTTATTTCCAATAGATAGTCTTGACTAGCTACTCCTCAGTCCAAACAAATATTATTATTATTATTGCTGTAGCCACTGTCTGGAAAATATATTTGTACTGCTTGTGAAATATAAAAACGACTGACTTTGTGCTGAACAGAGGTTCATTTAAAGTATATATCTGTCTTCAGGTGAGGTGTGTGTGTGTGTGTGTGTGTGTGTGTGTGTGTGTGTGTGTGTGTGTGTGTGTGTGTGTGTGTGTGTGTGTGTGTGTGTGTGTGTGTGTGTGTGTGTGTGTGTGGTGTGTGTGTGTGTGTGTGTGTGTGTGTGTGCTGCCTGAACGTATAGCGAGATTGATTTACCCTATAGAGTGGACTCCCACAATGGACTGTGAAAATAAGTGAATCAACCATCATGCATTGCGCTTAAGGAAAATGTCAGAAAGAGAGAGAGAGTGGTGAAGTGCAATTGATTATAATCCATAGGTTATGGTGCAAAAATATGTTTGCAAATATACAATGTGTGAGAAGATTAGCGCGTTGCAGTACAACACAATTAGTCATAAAGTACTTTGTATTTGTTCATTTGGGAAAATACCCTGAGTATAATATCATGTGAGTATTCAGCCCATTACAACGTGTTGCACAGTAATGACGTAGTTCACAGCGCCGAAAAAATAGTATTTCTCAAAAGGGTTTTTATTTTATTTTACAGATGAGCTCATCAAATAGTCTTCTATATATTCTACTTTTTCACATTATATATTTTATTTACTTTACGACATCTACTGTATTTTCCTCTATTCTGTTCTATTTCGGTTCTATTCAATTTAGATTTGTGTTGCATGGATATAAAAAAAAAAATGGAATGCACAACTAGTATGCCATGTGACACAATCTTATCGTACATACACACAACCTCACACACACACACATATATATATAGTGAATCCCAAAAGACATATCTCTGTTGAGAGTTCACATGTGGGTTGTTAACACACTCATGCACACCCCACATTGTTGAGCCCATCACTCAGCCTCTTCTGTGAGCGATTCTCAAACTGGGAGCAGCGGAAGAGGCGAGTTTCCTGCAGGACTAAAAATACTGCTGCCTCTGATCCTGCAGGACTGAGCAGAAGAAGAGAGGAGGGATTGATGGACTTTGGAGCACTTACAACTTGCATCTTCTCCGAGGTCGTCTTAAGAACCCGACCCCAGTTGTTTAGGTCAATCCCTTCGGAGCTCCTGTCCACAATCTTAGGCATCTGGGGAAACAAAGTCATAAGTCGCATCAGTCAAGTTAAAAATATTAATACTGTGTTTGAAATTGATACAGATAAAAATAGGGGTTGAAAACCGTTTGCTCTTTGTTCATTTGTATCAAAACTAATGGCGGCAATGCTAAAGTCATGTCCCGTGATGACAGATAAACACATTTATATCTATCGAGAAACTGGCAACTCTAAGGCAAAACTAAAGCGCTTGAAACAACGTTTTTTAATTAAAAGGAAATAACTTTTGCACACTTTTCTCAGACGATGCGTCTTTTGTCATGTCATTTTGGTCTCTTCTGTATTTATGGAGAAAACAAGACAGGTTTCAATCAATCAGTTCGATTTGTTCTTCCCCTGGACCTCCTTCCATGACTTCATCTTGGGAAACCATTAGCATTAGGCGTACGAAAAGGCCTGGTCAGAGCAGAGTGCTGAGGGTAACGGAAACCCCGAATGCAAAGACAAACACGCACATGCGATATCCTTCCTCCTGCATTCCTCGCACTTGAATTTCAATGAACGAAGGAAGGAGGAAGGGGTCGCAGGGGGGGGGAAAGAGAGAAAGCGAAGGAAAGGGAAGGGGGGCTGTTGAGAGGTGGTTGGCAGAAGGGAGTAATGAACGTAACAAGTTGTGACATGGCAGAGATCAGTGTAGTAATGGGCTTTATATAGCTAATTGGTTAAAGCAAAGATCCCTACTTAGATGTTACTATAGTACACAATGGCTGACATATGCTTGGTTTGTAGGTGTAACCAAAAATTACTGGATCGGATATTGGGAGGAAACTATTGTAAACCAATACGATCCATTTGGCCTTCAAATCTGTCAACAACTATCATAGATGTGTAGGCATTGAGTGGTAATTGTTGCCCAAATTATACACTTAAATTATAATGTATTTGTTAATTTAAATACTTTTATTCAAATTTTTACATAAAGTTGTAATTTAAAATGTAAATGTTTTGATGGTGCTGACCAGTCAAACTTAATGTTCCATACAGGGCTGAGAAAAATATGAATATTATATATTATATTTAGGGCTGTCAAGTTAACGTTAATAACGCGTTAACGCAAAAAAAAATTAACGCCACTAATTATTTTAACGCGATTAACGCATGTGTATTTTTTGTCCTCGGCCGCCGTAGTTTCAGAGTGCATCGAGTGTAAAATACCATCTACAAGCTGATGCTGACAGCCCCGCTCCTACCGCCCGCTTGTGGCAGACCACACTTCCACGCTCACTGGCAGGCCCGGACTGGCCATCGGGAGGGACCGGGAGGGAGTGTGTATGTGTGGCGCGACTCGCGCGAGCGAGGCACACCTTACGTGTTGTTGTTGTTAGCATCTGGTGCTAGCTAGCTGCGCTAACGGATATAAGGAGCTGTTTCAATGACATTTCGCCGACAACTGCGCCGAGCACTTGACTTTATGCAGGTAGCCAGACAGTGTGACATTGTACGAAAAGTCAGCACACTCAGCACGGATAGTACGCGCAACATTATTGCAGCGTCCAGGCAGCTCCCATTCGAGCATATATGCCTTGAGCTGCACATAGCTCAACGATCCATCACAGGCCCCGGCTCCACGAGGACAAATACGGCAAAACGCATCGGAGTAACGCAAACGCAACCGCAAAAAACCTTCCGACCACACGCAATATACACCGGATTGTGTCAAGCTCCACGAGACGGCTCCGTTTACATCCAACCGCTGGAAAAGCTGCAGTACATATGCCGAACCTGTACGTCGCGCTGTAACTTCCTCCACAAAAGCAGCAACTTCCTCCACAAAAGCAGCGAAGAAGAATGGTTGTCATGGCTGCACTTCTGTTTATTCTCCGCGGTGGGGGCACATCCATGGGTGGGGGCCGAGGGAACCGCGCAGAGTTTTTCGCCGGTCAATGTGTGTTAAAGTTTAAATCTTCATGCTTCCTCATGCAGCAGCTGATCCAGTAAGTAAACCCGACAGTAAAAATAAACATATTTATAACTAGTTTAGGTAGTTTGAGAGGTAATTAAAATAGCTAAGGGTGGTGATCTGACTTGAAGTGTGTGTTTTGCTCTCGCTGCTTCACAGCCGGAGGAGCTGCGTGTCTCCGTCCTATCAGATTAGACTTCACTCGCGTTTATGTTCATATCGAGATAAAGATAAATAATCTGAATTCAGTGTGCAGTGTACTTTTGCGGAGGTGAGCAGCAGAGGTGGGGAGAGGCGGGGCTATGAAACGGATGACCGTATAGGCGACCCCACGGCCCCGTTGGACCCCCCAGAGCGCTCCGTTCCCAGATCTATCCACCTGTGGACCCGTTGTCGTTTGCGGGGTCTGTTTCTACGTTTCCCTTACGGCGTCGTCGAGCTTAAAGGGCTATACGCATGAGAAATATGCGGATTCAACCCGTTTTCGTCCTCGTGGAGCCTACGCCACAGTGTCCCCACACACACACACACGCGCACACACACACACACACACACACACACACACACACACACACACACCACACACACACACACACACACACACACACACACCACACACACACACACACACACACCACACACACACACACACACACACACACACACACACACACACACACACACACACACACACACACACACACACACACACACACACACACACACACACACACACACACACAGTATTGTATGAGAGAGGTTCCAGGTTGAATTGAGGTGAATATTTGTAATGTTCAGAGGTTGTTGTGTTTAATATTCATGAGAATATTTGTCATTGTTCAAATGATAATAAACAAACATATAAAGCATAGTTGTCCACTCATATGTTGATAAGAGTATTAAAAACTTGAAAAATATCCCTCTAAGGTACATTTAGAACAGATAAAAAATGTGCGATTAATTTGCGATTAATCGCGATTAACTATGGACAATCATGCGATTAATCGCGATTAAATATTTTAATCGACTGACAGCCCTAATTATATTATATAACGGTATACTGATATCAGACTAATAATAATAATACATTACATTTATAAAGCGCTTTTCCTGGTGCTCAAAGCGCTTACAAGCAAGTAAAACAAAATAACAACAAAAGTAGAAAGTGCTAAGCTAGGTGGAATAAGGGCAAGGGGTTAGTGGATTAGGAGTTGAAGGCAAAAGTGAAAAGACTAGATGCCATCTATCCTTTTTACCCAATTATATCAACATTACTGTTGACTATATACAGTATGAGAATCTCATTGTATGAATAGTTTTGGAAAGCCCAAAAAGGATAACACTTTAATATTGTTGCAATATTGTTGAGGTATTTGTCAAAATAATTGTAATCTTTGATTTGACTGTACATTGACCCTAGTTCTGAGTGTGTAAACGTTTGAATAAAAAGAAGGGCTATGTATTTCCTCCTTTAGGGTAGTATAATACAGTATGTGTTACTTTTGAAAAGGACGTTATTGAATTGGTATGAAACATGACAAATATGTATCAAGCCATCCCTATACAAAGTCAAGAAACTAATGGTGTCATATGTCTTTGATATTGACTAAATATGTTTCCAATATGAATGTTTAGTCAATTAGACAGTGGAGAAAAAGGTGATGTCTCAAAATTCAACACAATTCTGCATATCAGTTTTAAAGTACTGATATGCTGTTTTGGATAAATACTTTCTTGCAAAAATTAATTTACAAATGCTTACAACAAAAGCTTTTTGCAGACCTTCATATCAAATATGTTACATGATATTTAATATAGTATAAGCTTTAGTGACCCTGCAGAGTTTACAAAGTGTAACATTATAGATGGAAATATGTTTATATATATTCTATTGAATTTAGAGAATGGAAAAAAAAACTCATGTCCAAACTAAAAAAGGTACCTTAATATGCTTCACTATTAAAAAGAGAAAAGAGACAATTCAAAGAAAAGAATGATAATGACATATATAATTGATATCAAGCTAATGAATTATTTACACTCAGATGTAGTTGTTCCTAGTCATTTAGTTCATCAATGTACATAGATTAAATCTAGCAAAGCTCTTTTACAACTACTCAAGCTACTCAAATATTCAGATTACTAATGTTGTTTTGTCCTCAAGAAAGAGGTTAAGACAACACTGCAACACTGCAAACAGATAGCCGGGTGTTCCCTTTAGACAGGCACCTGTTGGTAGAGTATTTATACGAGACGTAGCCACACGTCTTACAGAATAGCTCACATGCTCCAGGCGGGGTCTAGATAAGCCCATTACAGAAACAGGCCAAGAGGGATAATGCCATAACCAAACCCTGAGCCAGTCACCTGACTCACTCGAGCTGAACCTCAACTCGTAGAGAAGAAATTGAAGGCTGTCAAGTATAAATATAGCACAGTTTGTTGATGTTCAATGCTATTTTTATATTGTTTTTCTTCAATAAAACATGCCGAGCTGTGTCTACTCATAACATGACATGTCACTTGTTAGACGCTTTTATCCAAAGCGACTTACATACTCAATACTGTGGGTAATCCCCACAGGAGCAATTTGGGGTGAAGTGTCTTCAGGGACACGACGACATGCTGACTGCAGTGGGGTTTGAACCTGCTGTGACCCCCTGATCCGAACACCAATGCACAACCCACTGCGCCACACACCACCTACTTCAAAGACTCATTCAAATAAATAAGAAAGGAGAGGCTCTGTTGTTCTGCCTTCTCTTTGTTTCTTGCCTGTTGTAAATACACAAGTAAACATTTAGAAAAAATTGTAAAAGGTACAATCAGCCACGAGGCATCACATGCACTCATGGAGTCACAAGCAGCTCTTCATAGAATAATGAGCCATCTGACGTCGAGCCACAACTCAAAACTAATTGTAACTATTCTGAGCACAAAGCAGCACAGACACCTTTTCAATCACGAGGAAACCTACAATGTAGAATGCTAAAGCTATGAAAACAATATTACAGTATCAACCTCACTACACTATATTGCTAAGTAAACTAAATACATCAAAAGTGTCTATGCAGGTGATTGGGGCATGTCCTTATTATCAACCATAAAAGGGCCTTATTTCAGGTTCATATTTGTATTGTGTGCCTCTACTGTGACATGATTACATGCTTTAATGGTCAAAAAGTGCTTTATTTTTCTCTTACAGCACCTCTTTCGCCCTAGATGGCCGGCTCTGTTGTGATAAGCTTAGAGATGTCCCGCCCCTTAGCCTATCACGTACAATATTTGAGTGCTAGTGTTAAACGGTAATGTCACTATGTTACAGAAGAAAACAAATGTGTCCAATCGAGGCGACCCCAAAAAGCAAAATAGGGCCTCTTTAAGTCTCCTTTAAATGTGTGACTGTTAAAGCACAACACTGACCGAGTTAACCGGATGATTGCACTGCAACTCAAGTCACACTGTATTTAACCATCCATCTTCTTCCTCTACATATATTTCACAGTACAGTAATCTGCCAATTGACTTGAAAATATGATGTGTGACTTTGAATGATCAGTCTGGTGATATCTCACATTCTTCTTTCTTCAAAACCAACACTATAGTGTAGCTTATTGCTCTGCGCCTTGGAGTTCTGTTGCTGTCTATTAAAAACACATCAGTGAGTCACTCTGTTGCACTGGGTGACATCTTCCTTTGACACCGCGAACACACACACACACACACACACACACACACACACACACACACACACACACACACACACACACAACACACACACACACACACACACACAACACACACACACACACACACACACACACACACACACACACACACACACACACACACACACACACACACACACACACACACACACACACACACACACACACACACACTGCCAAAAGTACTAGCTAGTGCAGCAAATATGTCTCTTTTCACCCCTCCAATAAAAACACCATTAAACTACTGTTAAAGAAATGTTAGCTAAAACCACAGTGCCCTTCTTCTTCAGTAGGCCTTGCAGCTAAGTAGTACAGACAGCACAGGGCAGCAATACAGTATTGAGAGGCACACTAACACATTGTTAAGTCTGTCTGCAGAACAGGAAGAGGGACATCTTTTTTCCAACAAATGCAGCCTTCAGAGGATCTATCAGTGGAAATGATGACTGCCATGTCAAGTAAACACAAGGAGGAAAGGATGGATCCAAGGAACAACATCCACTTTACGAAGGTCATCAAAAATACAGGATATTATGCGATTCAGAGTCAATTAATGATGTACCATTGTATATAATAGATAACAGTGACATACACACATTCCATATTTGTTCAAAGCACAACTCACCAGTTTGAAGATTTTGAAGAAGTCCAGATTGTCATACAGTTCGTCTTCTACCCTCTGCAGCCTCGTCTGGCTGAGGGCACACATGGCGTTGCGGACCCCGTGGAGCCCCATGCGACTCGGGAAGATGATGAAGTGGTCGAGCAGAGCCTGGCTGCAGGCGATGTCTTTCAGCTGCAGGTCCGGGATACCAAACGCAAACTGGGGAAGATGAGAAGGGGAATACTGGGTTTATTGTGGGATATGTCTCAAAGATTCAGCAAATATCATAACAATGAAATCTTAAGTGACTGTTATTTTTGTATATATTGATTGTTGTGCTTTTATTTATGTCTCACTGTGTGCATATGTATAAATGTGTCTGTTGATTGTTTATATATAGGATATACATATTTTTATAAATATTTGTATATATATTTGTATTTTTGTATTCGGGATTATGGGAAGGGGTATTTCGATCTCTCTGTCTGTACGCACAAACTGAAAGATTGACAATAAAGTTTGAATTAATATTGGTTATAAACAACAGAAAAAGATGTAAGTCCTTCAGTATTCTTTACAAATCAGCAAAGATGATATAATATCAGTCCAAGCTTCATCTTATCCCACTGCACCTGTTCCAGTCGTATTTCTGCATTGACGAACTGGTAGACAATAGACTCTGAGAGGGCGGCGTTTTCCAAGAGGAAGGCGGTGAAATTCTCATCATCCTTCAGAATATCATCAAGCTTCAGCCCACGACCTGAAACATCAAGAGACGAGATAGTGAAAGGTTAGAGCAACTACATACAATATTGACAACAGTCTGGACTACAGAGGAAATAATTGACAGCCAGACAGTCTGGCAGCGGAAATCCCTGCCAACACTTTTTGAGGTCATTTCAAATGCAGTAATACTCAGAATAACAATATGATATTAATATGGACAATCCTGTTTGTCTAATTGAGGAAATTTATGTTTTACACATTGGATAAATAACTCCATAGCTTATTCTGTAGCTAAAACAATCAAGTGATTACCTCAGTAATAAAATAAAATATATAAAGTGTTTATCCAGCAGTTGGAAATGCAACATCTGAAGGATTACTGCCATTGGAAGCAAACTCATTTAGCAAAATGGACCGACATTAGTGGTGACATTTAAAGGGGACCTATCATGCAAAATGCACTTTTGTACGTCTTTTAGACATGAATATGTGTCCCCGGTGTTCCAGGGAACTCACCAAGTGTCAGAAAACACAACCCTCTCTATTTTCCTCCATACCCAAATCTCTAAAAAAGGGGCTGCAACGGATCTGATAAAAACTGATCCAGATTTGAACACTTTACTGACGTCAGGACAGTAGCGCTATGGCTATTGGGCCAACTCCACCAATCAGGAGGAGACAGCCACGGCCATTGCCGTTCGAAAGCGCTGGAGACGCTGTAGTACATATGCCAGGCCTGTAGATGGTGCTGTTCTCACTGAATCTGCCCTTGCTAAAACAGAGCTAACATTTTTCAAATTGAGCAAAATGAGGCATGGCTAAAATGCATGATCTGTTTGGTATTTTGAAAAAAAAAAAGTATAAATATGCCTTATATAGGTATGGTCCTACACTATATTATTCAAATATAGCATGATAGGTCCACTTTAAAGTAAGACACATTGTTTTTAAAAAAAAGAGAAAGTGAGGACCTATTGTGACGAACACAAGACATGAAACACCAACACAAAGAGGATGTGTCGAAAGCCAAACAAACAAAAAGGTTAAGATGAAAGTGTTGCTTCACTTCCCTGTCAGGATAGCATAAGAGTTTATAAAACATTAAAAGGAAATACCCTTTTTAGGGGAAATGTTGTTTACCTTTGGTTTTGTATCAAAGACTGATTTGTATGCTTTTGTTTTATAGTGATAGACAGGAATCAAGCCAGAGACTTAGGTCGTTTACACCCATGTGGTCTGTACCCTACCAACTCGTCTCTCTGCTCACCCACAGTCTATTTCTCTTCTGATAACAGGGTTGAGAAAAAAGGCTTCTACTAATTATTGTACACTTAAGAGAAGTGCTTCTGTCTGAAACCTTTATCACTTTTACCTAACACCACAGATGGGTTGTTGCGTAACGTTTCCATGATGTTTGAGAAGGACGACATTTCATGCCAAAGACGGCCGATCCCCTGGACCTCCCTCTCCTCCAGCAGGAGCTCCTGGGCATCAACGTAGAACCGTGCCAATCTGAAGACAAGTAAAGAAAACAAGATAATATACAATGTTATAATGCATTATCTCATTTCATACAAGCCTGGTGTATCATCTGTAATCAGCGCTAGAGCACTTGGGTCTAACGTCTGATTTAATTATCTGATTTGTAATGGAATAATTTGTAACCCAAATTAAATCTTTATGAGGTTCTGTGGAGGTCTCTAAGGTTATAGAGATGCTTTGATGTGTCTTACACTGAGTTGTTGTAGTTGGAGACAACGCCCGGAGACTCTCCTCTGGTGGGATATCTGAAGCAGGGGTTGTTGACGTTGCAGAAGATTCCCTGGATCCAGGGCAGAATCCCTGCTGACGGCATGGCCTTGTTTGGGAAATGACCTGAAGAAACAGACAACTCACTCAGGCTCGTAAAGTGATTTTATAACAGATGCCTCAAGGTTAACAGGTGTTAATCCCTCCAGCAATTGCACATTAGTGTAGCGTCTTGATTCTAGAATAACTTGTTTAAGAAGGGGTTTTGTCTTACATTCATGTTGCTGGTACAGTGGATTGGCCTTCCTCAGCCACACCAGACCAACAAATAACAACACAGGCCAGCAGATCTCAACTATGAAGCGGCCCTGGACAGAAACAAGTAAAGTGGGGTTTAAAAACACACAGAAACGGTTGGAAATCTGTAAAATTGTATGCAATCCTGAAATGTATCATATTCAGAGAAAGCTGTAGTCTGTGGTGTTATTTTTATCCAAGGTTTTGTCTGACTACTGTCACATAAATGCTACCTTCTGCCTCTTGCGGAGGGTCCAGTTTTTCCACAGTAACAGGCGGATTTGAGAGCCTGTCTTCATTGCTCTGCAGCTTCACCCCTGGAAGGGGTCATCAGACTGTGACAAACCTGCAGACACACAACGCTCCATCAGTGACCACACACTGCTGTTTACTTCTCACAGAGACACTGGAAAAACTTGGGTACAACTGACACAGAAGGAAATTGGACTACAATTCTTGGGTCTGGTCTTGTGACCACTAGGAATTTCTCATTATCAACCAAAATATTGATATGAAAACATATTTTACACTGCATGGTCCACTATTGTTTTTGTTGGTTGTCGCTTTTTCAAAAGTGTATTTTCGGTCTACTACTATCAATCAATCCTATGATATATGAAAACCTAATTATAAATGATTATTTTCCCCATGAGGAATGACTTTTTTTGTTATTTGTCTTGAGTTGTACTGACTTTGATCTATATTTGGTTTTGCACGCGACTGACTCAAACATGAAGGTACCTGGCCTTAGACCTTACTTGGATTTGTTTAAGGTGGTCTTGACTACAACCCTGGACTAACCCTCTTACAAAAACACACCCTGCTGAAGTGCTCCTGAGCAAAACACTACCACCCATTAAGGTGTTTTGTTCAGCCATGTTGGCAGAAGGAGATTTCTCTGCAGGAAAATAAAAGTAAGTCGAACATTCGCACAATAATTAAAATGCAGTCGAGGTGATTTATGAATTCAATTTGCACCTGCTCTATCATACAGACTTACACCAAAGGACAAACTCATTTCCAAATTGAAAACAACTTCAAATGCCAATCACATCCACAGGTTATGTGCAGTGGAGCTCAGAGAATGTCAGACATGAAGAGTAATTTGTTCAGAGTGACATGTCAAATAGATTACCGCAGACTAGCAGACTGAGGATGCAGGGACAGAAATACCAGAAAAACAAAAGGACAAAGACTGTGAGACTACAAGAGGAGAGTGAAGGCTTCCATTACGTCTGACTTGAAATAACCTTATTATTACTCAAACAGCAATTACACATAACAGGACTTCCTTGCACAGAAATGTGTAGAAATGTAAAAAAACTGCATCATGCTAAAGTAACCGATACAAGAAGTCATAAGGGGAAAAACATTTTTTAAAAAAGCATCGACCAACATCTCTTTCATTTCATTATGTAACAAGCATTTAGTAATTAGCTATTACCAACCTGTCAGCGTATACATCATCTTACTATTTTGTCAATAAAGCAAGTTCCTTACCTCTTATAGAATGATGTAAAAGTCGTACGACATCTAGAGAAACAGGTTCACAGAGCAGCTGAAGTAGTGCCAAACATTAAGCAAGGTAAAAGAGCTGTGTGTGTCTCCTGGCTGCCCACACTCTCTCTCTCTCCTCTGCCTGCAGGTCAGCAGCACTCCTAATCTGATTGCTCTAATCTCCCAGCTCAACATGGGCAGGCAGAAAAAAGACAACAGTCATCCATTTTGAAGCAGAATTAGGTGGATATCTGCTGGAGAAGAAAGGGGGGGATAGAGAGGGAAGACGTGCCCTGTGCTGAGAGGGGTTCCAGGATGGATCACAGTAGGAGCTAAAAGGTCTGTTGAAATGTCCATGAGCAAGATGTACCTGCAGTCACTGTCTCTGCAGGAAAGTCCTCCAGGTTAACAACTTCAAATTTCATTTTTGACGCAGTTACATGAGAAAATCAGGAGGTGTTTGTGTTTGTGTCGTACCTGTCTGAAATGACTCAGCGCGACGAGGTGGAGGAGTGATTAGGTCTGGAGAATGTGGAGTCCTGACAGTTTGACATAAAAACCACTTGAACCTGCTGGGAACCATCGAAAAACAGACACGCTTAGCCGAAAACCAACGTAAATGATAGGCTTAACCCTGCACAAAGCTCAGTGTAAACCATGTCACACAACTCCAATTTGTCATTCTCAGTGAACTATAACAAAAAAGTCTCACAGGATCCATGGGTTAAATTAGGGCTGGCCGATAAGCAGAAAATCTATTATTATAAAATCTATTATAATATCTTTGACTAAATACATCAATATTGTGACAATATTGTATAGGGTTGGTGCTTTTAGAAGATATTTACACAATGAACTAATCTTTTATAATGTGGAGAAGTTGCTGACTGGCAAACAATAATAATAAACAGGAAACATATACAGGAAAAAAGACCTTAAGGTATATGACCATGATCTTACTTAGACGATATCAAGTCTTATTGCACAATATCAATGTAATATGTCGCCCAGCCCTAGTAGAAATACAAAATAGGATGCATTATAACAAGTAGTACAAATAATACAGTAAACTTATTTCTACAGGGCTACAAAAAGGAAATAGTTACAGGTATATCCACGGTTCTCTGCATGTACTGAACAGATATTGGAATGAAACGTTAGTTGATTAGTCGATGGGCAGAAAATTATTGGCAAATTCTTTGATAAGCTAGTTCTGCTTTTCTGTGGAAATGTGCTTTTTTTGTATTTAAGGAGTTGGTTGGAAGAATTAAGTCATTCTCAAGACATTTTTGTTGGCTCTTGTTGACGTATGATTTCACAATTTTCTGTTGTTTCAAAGACCAAAAGGTGAGAACTTAAAAGATAGTGAACATGACCAGCCCTATATCGGCCACTTTTCCATTGTTTCATTCTCCAAGTTGTCCAATACTGCCATGAATTTGAATGCATACAGGTTTGAAATACAAAATAGGATGCATTTTTAGAAAAGGAGACAGTCATTTGGTCTGTTAGAATAAATAAAACACATCCTGGTTCTCTGAGGTGTTGAACAGTAAAAAGAAAAACTCCATTGGAACAGAAGTAACAATTAAAAATACATTTTTAATTTGCAGCAATCACTGTTGCATGTCATTTTTTTCTGTATGGTCACAATAATGCAATGGAACAACATTACTGTGATGAACATGCAGTATGTATGAATGGATATAAAAAAAACGTAAACAGATACATAAGGTTTACATACTGAGAAAAGATGTACCAATCACAGGCATCAAAGGACTCATTTGAAAGATAAAATGTTGAACTCTTTCAAATAAAAAAACCTCATGTTAAAAATGCTTCCATCTGTTCATTGGAGAATAAAACTTAAGCAAATTCTAACATAAAAAGGCACATTAGAATTTGAACCTGCGTTAAGTGCATTGTGTGATTACATCAAATATAATTTCATAACAAATCAAACATTGTACAAGAACTAAGAGGTTCAATTCAAACAAGGAAAATAATAGACTTACAAACAGATGTCATGTTGTGGTTGACACATTTCTTCCTATCTTTGACATAAAAATTGATAATTAATGTATTTATAACTTAATAGCACTAAAAATTCAATGTTGGCATTCGTCTGTTTTGAACGCTTGGGAGAGCAACCACTGTTGACATTTGGACTTGAATATGTAAAATACAATATATTAGTACTTATAACACTTTCATGGTTTATTTTCACAGGCCTACATTTCTCCCACTTCGCTTGTATTATAAAAAAACGTCTTCCGATGTATACACTATGGCACAGATACAATAATATTTACAGATATAATATGTGATTTTTTTGGCTTCAGACAAAATGTGCCTCTCTGTGTTCGAGCTCCTGCGTCCGCCGAGGGCGAAGTCTTTGGTACACGGGTTTAGTCTCGCTGGGGCTGAGGTCGTCGGGGCTGCTGGGGGGGGGGGACTGTGGGGGGGAAAGGCTGGCAGAGGTCGAGACCCCGGGGTCAATGTCGCTGTCGACGGAGTCCTGAGTCTGGAGCCGAGTCAGTGGGGGGCTCGTTGATAGGGCAGGGGATGAGGAGACTACCTGGGCAGTGGTGGAGAGGGCGACGGAGGGGCTGGCGGTGGTTGTGGTGGTGGTGACCGTGGTAACAGTTGTAGTCCAGTTGGGAAGCGTCCTTGCCCTGCTGTTAAAAGAAACGGGGGGCTTGTAGAAAGTTCCAGGAGGCGGCTGCAGAGTTCTCGGCGCCCTGAGCGTTAGCGGGAGTTTTGGCGAGCCGCTAGCCTCGCCGACAGAATTATCAGAGTCATTTTCCCTTTTATAAGTCCAGATGGGCTTTGACACTGTGTAGGGAATGGTGCAGAACATGTTGCTCACACTACTTGAAGTAGGGACTGTAGCTGTTAGCGCTGGGCTAACATTAGCGGTTATGGCTGGGCTAACTGTAGCGGTTAGCGCTGGGCTAAGAGTGACAGGCATGGTTGCTTTCACAGGTTGTATTCCAGTGCTGGCAGGTGGGAGGTTGGCCACAATCTTAGCAGTCCTGGGTGTGACATCATAGTGCTTGTACTTCCTGTCCCACGTTCTCCTCTGCATGGAGTGTGTGTCCATGAAAGGAGTGATGTAGTAGGTGCTAACTCTCGACGAGCCACTTTGGCGGGCTTTCTCTGGCTCTGGTATCTCCTGAATAGATTCAGAGACGCGTTCAGAGAAGCTGGAGTCATCTTTAGCAGCAGCGTTACGGTAATTCCTCTCGCTGATGTGGGCGGGCGCGGGCAGGCGTTCTAGCGGCATGCTGATGGGTCGAGACACATGTCTGGTGCGCTGGGTGCGGAGCTGGACCTTTGGTACCACAGCGGTGGTGGGGGGGCCGGTGGAGCTGGGACGGCCGAACACTAAGGTGGACCTCTGCATGTCTCCTTCAGCGAGGGTCTGGTCCCCGTTGAGTCTGTCCGAGGCCGAGGCCGAGTCCTCTGTTCTGTCGGTCCCCGGCTGCACCCCGTGAACCTCATTCATGATGTGTGAGGAGGGGATCACTGACGAGTATCTCTTGTACACTTTGGCACTCTGGAGGGGACAAAAACAATTAGATTACAATCTTTTCATCAGATTTTAATCCGTTTTTAATTAAGTAACCTTTGCTTCACATATAATATTTTTAATTGCATATTACTTAAAAAGTATTCAAATTTATTCACAGAATTCTACTTTTTGTCTAAACCTGTAGCCTACTAGAGCTGCACTGGTTAATTAACTGTATACAATGTATTATATAACTTTTATGCATCAATGGCAGAAAATTATATTTTCGCCGCTGAAATATGGAGATTTCCTGCCTTTCAGTTTTTTTCTAATCACATTACCAAACTAAATATCTTCAGGTTGTCAGAAAATAACCAAGAAAATTAGCTTAGCTTAGCATTTTGGGGGAAAATAATCTGCAGATGAATTGATAATGAACCAAATGAGTTGCAACCCTAGCGCCTACATTACCCACATTGTAACTCGAACGCCTACCTTTCAGAGATCCAGGCCTCTAACAGAGAAAAGGATCTACAGAGGTCTGATAAGCTCACTTCTTTCTCATTCTAACCTCCAGAGTTCTCCTTTTCATTTTCTAACCTGCAGTCTTATCAGACTTTACACAAAAGCCTTTACACAACTTTATATTGAAACGTGTTTCCGCTTAGCTGCTCTTACTGTCAGACATTCTCTAATACATGAGAGCAGCATTAGTCACAGCCCTAAATCCCTCCTCACCTCTTTGATATCCATCAGGGAGGCGGAGTGTCTGCTGAGCCGCTGCACCTTCTCTTGGGGGGTGAGTCTGGGGGACGCCTGGCAGGATGTGATGTTGTCAGAGCCGGGCAGAAGTGAAACGTCAAACACCGCGTGGAAGTGGCGCACCAGCAGCTCCACCATCAGGGCCTGGTAGGGGTAGTCCACCAGCGAGGACAGGGACACCTCGGCGTCCGTCTGCCGGGGCTTCACCAGCGTGGGGCCGTAGATTATACCCAGATTACTCGCCGTCATCTTGTTCTCCTCCGCCTGCTCCGTCACTCTGTGGGAGGACGGGGTGATGATATTTATAAAGTATTTTTCAAGAATTGTATCTTGGTTGTAAGTACAGACAACGTCTCAGAGTCAAAGCTATACTGACATTCTGCAGATCAATATTTTGTAAAGCTTCAGTGACAACAGTCTAAATAAATACAACATGCCTTAAAAAGATTCTAACCAAAGCCCGCTTCTGACATGTGATTATTTATAAGTGTCTGCAATTAGTCCTATATTTAAATGTAAAGGACATAAGACCAGATTAGTCATTCTAAAAATATTGGAGCTGGAACCAGATTTAAAAACTAGACTATGAATAGAGCATGTGTATAATGTTTGTTTGTTCTACTTCCTCTATGCTATAGGGAAGTCTCTATTTCCTGTTTTGTCTCATGAGGAACTTTGTGTACAAACTGAACAGACAGACACAAATCCTTACAATGAGTTAGCATGTGTGTTTGATAACAGCCCTTACTTGTGTAGGTGAGCGATAAGGAAGCGCAGAGTCCTGTAGTTGGCTGCAGGCAGCTGGCGGAGAAGGTCTCTGATCTTGAAGAGGACTCTGTTGAGCCCGACGCTGGCCCCCCCCTTCTCTCCTGTTTTAGGTTTATCGGCCTCCTCCACTATCACTCTCTGGCACTCTTTGGCCAAGCCGATAATATCGTTGTAGTAACGATGTAGGATCAAGGGCTCTGGTAGCTGTACAGAGAAGGGAAACAGTGATGTGTTTAATGCTCTTAGCAATGGAAACTACCAGTGTAAGTATACCAAATAAAATGCTTATTCAAAAGAATAACAAATAAAAGAGTAAAAAGCCTAAATCTAAAAGTTCTCAGCAACTCCAATCAACTGCTTTTTTTAAATAACTGATTTTATAATGAACAATATCTAATTCACCCATTATTTACAATAACTGTTTAACTGTCTGAGACCATCTTTAGACCCACCTGTCTCAGGTAGAGTTTGAGAACATTGCCGATATCGTGAGGAGAGAGGTCGGACAGCTCAACCAAGTCCTTCCCGTTTTCAAACGCCTGACAAAGCTTCTCGACGCGTGATTTGGCTCCATTCACACGATAAATCCCCTGTGAGGAATAAACAGGAAAAGGATTTGGTACATTTGACTATGATCATCATTTGAAAAAGGAATGATATCTCCAATGTGTATTGCTTGAAAACTCTATAATCCAAGATAAAAAAAGACGAACAATTTCACTGTGAAAGAAAACTCAGTTCACCTTGATGTTGAGGGCTCGACTCTCAATCTCAGACGTGCACTTTTTGATGATGAAAGGGATGCCATCTGGACTGTTCTTCGCTGCTTGTGTAAAGTCGATACCAAACAGCTGCAGTCTGCCTTGCAGCTTTTTATGGCCACACTGGATAGCAAGCGTTTCTAGACACTTCTTATGGCAGGCGAGGGAGCACTGGGGGGAAAGAAGGAGAGAGTTACATTCAGTAGTATGGAGTGGCCATTTGATTCTCACTTAGATTAAACAAAATCCTACAAATGAAATAACAGATTTACTTATTTTTTCTCTCTTCTTGTTTAAGGTCTTAGCATAAATGTCGGCAGCACAGTGGAGACACATAATGGCTACATATTTCAGTTTGTTGTCTAATAAATGTTGTTATTACTGCAATGTATGAAATACTTGGGCAGCTATAAAATTACACCCTAGTTAATTTATCATGAAAAAGTTCCTTGTCCTGTTAATGTACTCAGGATGCAAGTACTCAGCGCCATGAGCATTTGAACAGCTTATGAAAGATTATTATGTACTGTACCTCCTCACACTCCGCTCCATGGAAAACTACCAGGCTGTCACACTCTCGGCACTTAGATGGAGCTCGTAGTTTTCTCAGCTTATGAGTTTGAGAAGCTTTGGACATCTGAGCGTTTCTGAAGGGACCCGGAGAACTGGCCGTCTCCGTCACCATCTCTGCCAGACCTGAAAATCCGATCCAAAGATGAGGAAACATGCCAGACAGGTGACTTCCTGTTCCTGTAACTGAAACAACTGAACCTCTGTGAGGGCAACTAAGAAGCCTTTGTTCAAGTCACGTCACTACATATATTTTAATTTGGAGTAGTTCATATTTACTGGTTGACAAATGATTATTTCAGACCTAAATTCAGAAATATGATGAAAGATATGATAATAGGATATGAAAACAGAATAGGTATGGGCACTTCAACTTATTTTAAAATGCCTTTAGGTATTATTTTATCATGTGATGATGTCATATCAAAATTGCAAAAAGAAACACAGAGATTATATTTGATGCATAACTTTACTTCATTATCATGCACACAATTACAGTTCAATTCACAAGAAACGATTACAAAATGAGGTCAGATAGGAGAGCCAGTTTGCGGCTTCCATTCTCAATGAAAGAATAGACATACACACTGACCCAGACAGCTCCTCATATATACAGGAAGTGTGAGCTGAGGTCATGTGGCCAAACTAACATGAACCCAATCTGTGCAGCTCCGCCAAGTGTAAAAACATTTGATGCTGAGCGAAACCCACGGAAAAAAACATCCTTCGAGTCTTGGTGTAATTTCTCCTTTTTTCTTCGTCTCTTGCATAGCTTCCCTGTCACATAACACACACTGCCTGCGCTACTGCACATACATTCCTAAAATTGGTTTATGTACAAGTATGCATCTGCCCGAGGAAAAGGGGTCACACGCCTTACCGTTGTCTGAAGGCGACGGTTGCTCCCTCTCATCCAGGTCATCAGCAGAAGACATGGTGCCAGTGGACGGAGTCCTCGGCAGCCGTCGCTTGAAGTCACCTGACAGTACATACACAGGTCATGAATTTGTAGATACAAATATCCAGTGACTAATTTAAAGTTTTACAACAGATTTGCACAAGGACAATATCCCGGTGCAGAGAAGAGATTGTGCGGCTACGTGGGCACATGCAGGGTTTTATATATCAAAGCTTGGCACAGTGTGGCAAACAGTTTCAGATGTAGAGGGAAGTGCACTTAGAGATGATTAGTGTGTGGGTCTGTTGTACAATGAGGAAGTTACACAAAAAAGATTATACTTCGAATAAATACATAATGTGCACCTTCTTTTACTTCTGTTTTGATTTCGATATTGAAATCAGGCTATTTTCAGATTTGTATTACTGTCTTTATCATCTTTAATAGTGTGGGTGTTTTTCCAAATTGATTTCTTGATCTCATCTACTCAAATGTTACCTTTCTTTGTTGCATGTATTTGTTTATATAAAACCCATTTACAAATATCCTAAAGACCTTTATATTAATGAAAATAATAGAATCCTCTTACCTGGACTGGCGGTGGGGGAGTCCATGGACCGGGACTCGCTGCTGCCTCCCGCGCTCTCCGAGTCGCTGCACATCCCGCCCTGGCTGCCCTGACTACCGGAGGCCCAGGCTTTCAACGTGGCCTGGCTTCTCAGCGCTGCAAGGAAACATAAAGACCACCAGTCACACACAAGCAGAATAAGAGAAAATCCAGCTCAAAAGCAGCTTCCTGTTTAGTGATATTCTTAGCGTTGGTTTTGGTTATTTCTAGGCAGGTCACACGTATATTCTGGACTTATGACGCGTAAGCCGCACACAACGGGTTTGATTTAAGTCCTGAGAACATTTCCATGACTCAGAACACAGACTATGAAAAGGCTCATAAAAGGTGCTGAATAGACGCCTGTGAGCTTCAGCAACAGTCATTTTGCAGTTTGGGAATCATCCATAATCTAAAATACTGTATATTCATGTATCAAATGTGATCTTGTCTTCAAGTCTGCTGTTATTCGTAGCAGTTTTGAATTCACAGTGTTTCATTGAATTGAAATCAGTATTTACTAAATGAGAGAGTACCTGGTATGTCGGTGCTGCTGTTGGACCTGCGCTCGCTGATCTTCGCAGAGCGGTGAAGGGCACAGTCCACCTCGTCTCCGCTCAGCACGTCACCAGAGTAGATGGATGCCTGCGACAGGTTGCCATGGGAGGAATGAGTGCTGCCCACAGACCTTTTGTTGAACACAAACCTGGGGAAATAAAGTCAGAATGAAAGGTTACGTGATGAAGATTTATATTGTTCCAGAGTCACTAGAATTTTATTTATTACAGTGTGTTTGTGTGGGGATTTGACATGTGACTCAACTTCTACTTCTCCAGGCACTGAGACTTTTGGATTTCAGTTTCTGGCAGATAATCTGTTTTGCTAACACCCACCCCCAAGACTCCAAGCAGCAAACTTGGAGCACAGTGTTATAAACAAGCAAGCATTTACTGACATTATATTACCACTTCACAACACACATGTAGCACCTTTGCCCTATTAAGTGAGCCACTTCATTTTATTGGAAGAAAATGAGCCGCTTTCTGTCTATGACAGGCTAACATACGCTGTTCTGGAGACCCCCCAAGATTTTTTATAATTCCATAGTTGATAACAGATGTTAATAAAAGCCATGAAGTCAAAAAAGCTCCATTTTATTTGTTATGTGTAACTTCAAAGAATTGTCTGAAATGCTAGTTGTGCTTAAAGGCATAACTAAGACTGAAAGAGAGGATTAGGAACAGAAACTGAAATAAGCCCAGCCGGTAGACCATTGCAACATATAATGTCACATGAAACACGTCAGTGGCTGCACAATAATGAAAGCACTAAAGCATTAAATTCCCTTTTTAAGCCACAAAGCGGTTTTTCCGGCAGTGTCAACACTTTAATGTACACAATACATTAACATCATCAATCTTACCATTAACTTATTACTGAGAAAGTGAAGCGTTGCTTATTTTCTTAGTGGTAATGAGTATATTTGTGTATGGGAAGCGGATTCTGCTTTTACAATCTAAGTCTTAGGGACAGCTCTAACCCCGAGCCAACTCTCACGCTCACAATCTCCCCCACTGCATTCAGCCTGCGCCACAGATATTTCCTGAGGAAGGGCAACAAATTCAACACGCATTCTGTCTCTCCTTGACTCTCTCTCTCTCTCGCTTCCTCCCACTCTGACTCACTGTTACCTTTGTTGAAAGAAGAGATTTTAAAATGAGTTACTTGGAGATGTTTTGAAACACTCTCCTCTAGGATTAAGGTTTCATTCTAAAAATCCTGAAACTATCACATTTACTTTTTCACATTATGGCCTGCAACAAGCTGCAATGTGAGAATAAAAATGGGGTTTAGCATAGCTTAAATACTGAGACCTAATCCCAGAATCTTAGTGTAAATCCAGTTCTTGGTACCTGGCATTGTCAGACGAGGTGGAGTCTAAGTGCAGACGCTCTTTAGGCAGATTTTTGGGCAGGTTCCGGACGAACTCGGCATAGCATTCACCCGGTTCGTACAACTTGGAGCTCTCACTCAGAGCCTGGTAGTGAGCAGGGAGCGACACCGTCTGCGCCTGCTGCATCTGGAACCAGTTCACCGTCACCTGAAGAGAGACCGATTAGTGTGATGAATGGGTGAATGACTCATTTAATGAATGAATGAAAGAAAAGGGAAATGAGCACTTAAGTGATTATAAGTAGATAAAAAGACACAAAAGGACAAATACAGGCAGACAAACATTATTTTATAACTGTAGCTTATGTTATTTCAATTTAATATACCGGTAAACAAACAAGTATTTGGTGATAACTTCTAATGCTTGACAGATTTCTAAAATGTCTACATTTTTACTAACAATTTGACTAACCACTCCAACTGTAGTAATATGTACAGTGCATGTCAAATGGCCGGCTATGTGGTTATATAAGATTGGAATGTGTTTCTTTGCCTATAAATGCCTTCAACTTGGCTTATCGAAGCACATATTTAGCTGGAGCTTTTCTACAATCTTAGAAATGTACAAAAAGGTTTTAGCACCAAAAGCTGCCAAACACAAAAAGCCATTACATTGAAGTTTAAACTTTGCTTTAGGAGCAAGTCATTTGTTCTCAATGTATAATGCATTGTGCCTGTAAGATATGTATATAAGAACTAAATGTTATTGGATAATCAACTTCTCTCTCAGTAACTCGGCTTGTTAGCTTGCTGCGTATCATGTAGTGTCCACTCACAGCTTTGAGTGTGAGGTCACACTGGAAGACCATCTCTCTGATCTGTGTGAGGATGGTGCTCTTGGCGTTGGCCAGATCCATCTTCCTGACGCCTGCGTCAGCCATGCAGCTCTGGTACTGATCCTGGGCCTCCTCCGCCTGGTCACAACAAATCATACAGAAAGTATTGAGAATATGGATGAAATGCTTAATGTCAATAATACGGTTTTCAGGAATTCAACTATTATGCACTGCTGCAAAGACACGTTCCCTGGTGTGGAAAACCTTCAAACCTGAACATGACTCGTGATATTATTCTCCCCTGCCTACCTTCTGCAGAGCCTCCTCCTCCAGCTTCCTCTTCTTCTCCAGCTGTTTGTTGCCAGCGGTAGCATGATCCTCCTGGGAGCGGTTGGTAGATGTGTGGGCTTTCTGGTACTCCTCTCTCCTCTGGGCCTTCAGCACTCGTGCTTTACGTAAGGTTGCCACGGCCTCTTGCTGCCAAACCACACAGATGGACCATAATGTGATTAAAATCTGACATAGGGGTTAAACGGTTATCATAAGCATAGTCAGGCACACCCTTCTGGTTGTTTCACCTCACATGAGAAGTGACTGTAAACACTGCCACGAGGGCTCTTTTTCTTTTAACCATCAGAAAAATAAGTGATGATGCAAATTTAAAATCCAGTTGGTGCTTTCGCTGATTTGACTTCCATAAATGGATCTATACTGATATTTATAAATGCAAAAAGGAAGATGTGTTTCATTGATTTTGAGCTAATAGGCTGTATTCAAACAGGGACATGTTACAAACCATTTTCTTTTGCTCTCTCTGCCACTGCTCCTTGATGTCTTTCCTCAACTTGTCGAGGTCATTCTTACGGGCAAGAAGAGGCTGGAAAAAGATGGAAGCACAACAATTCAATGAGGTACAGGATTTCAAAAGGTATTATTTTGTTTATTTCAAAAGCTTTCAAATATAAAGATAAGTTAGTTAATGAATTGTATCAGAAATGCTTGTTTTCTGATCTGCAAGTAGTTACAGAATATTAGAGTTGAGTCTTGTTCCCAGCCACACTGTAATACAATACAGGGATTTTATTTATGTGCACTCTTGATTTGCATTTCTCATTGTTACCTGTATGTATTTGTTGGTCTGAAGAGCTATTGCAGTTTGAGTAAGCAGCTGTTTGTATTCAATGTCGTTCTTGAACGTGGAAACGTAGATGTCACTGAATGGCATGTAGTCCTTGGAGAAAAAGATAATTTAATTAAATTGGCAATTCCATATATATAGATTTCAATCAAAGACAAGATAACAATCATATACTGCATACACATTATAAATACAGTAAGTGTTTGTATAAAAATACTATTTTCTTACCTGTTGGCTGGCCAGTGTCTTAGCAGACTCTGCCATTTTGGAAAAACTTTTGGCATACTCAATATCTGAAAAAAAGAGATACACAAAACGTTAAGGGATTATTTTTGTCTGTAAATAATCAAGTTTGGATAAAACAACATGCACTCCATTTAATCTAATTTCATAATGCTGGATTTAAACAAACAAACAAACATTGCAGACACTCATGCTTCAGGTGATGCAAAATGATTGACATTACTAAACACAGTATATTACACACATATACATATCCTAAATTAAACAAAAATGAAAAGTACTGAATAGTTTAAATGGAACAAACAGTAACAAATGTTTTCTGCTCAGAGTGCAAAATAAATTGCCATGACTAAATGGCTGCAAAATCTCACTAACTGTTCTGCCCCTGCTGAACTCAATTAAAAGCAAAAAGGCTTATAATGACTCAGGGGTCCATTTTAAAAACGCTGTTTCATTCCTGGGTCAAACTGAATTTACAGATACCTCTAATGTCTTTTTAAACTGTACTGCAACACAAGATGTGTGTACATCTTTACTGTTCAGGAGTTATTGCGTTTTCCAAACATATCTAGTATATTCTCCTGAGGCAGTAACCCTCTGTTTTGCAATCCAGAGCTCCACTGTCCATAGTCTCGATGTCTCACCCATGGCCAGCCGTTTCTCCATCCAGGCCAGGAGGTCTTTGATGTACCTGGACCAGGCCTTGGCGTAGAGTAGAGCGGACTCCACGCCGCTGTCATTCTTCAGCAGGGTCAAGTCAACTTCTTCCTCTCGTGAAAGCGGCACCTCTGGACCTAGAGAGTCAGTAGAGAGAATCGAAACACATGGTATCAAGAAAATTGCCAAGAGTTGGATTGGATTGATGTGTCTCAGTTCTACTACCCCCAACAGACGTGTGTGGGAGGTAAATGTAAAAACACATTCAGGTTAAAAGGTAACAGTGTAGGAGGATGTAAAACTGCCGGGCATCTTTTCAAATAGGATTATTTTCTTTCTACTGGTTAAACTGTGATGCACCTCTCCCAGGCATCCACCGTCTGATTTAACACAAACCCCATGTGTTTCCCATCCCACACGGAACTACTCCTAAACAGGCAAGGAATGTGAGATATGTGGCCGGAGAGGGGAAAACGAGCAGCTAGTATGAAAAAAGCAGCAGAAATAACAGGGGTGGAAGCAGAGGCTTAGGGTGGGTCTACCTCAGGCATTCAAGAGTCCAGCGCCTAAATCACTCAGCTAACTCACCATCTGACACTCGGGGCGGCCCCGGTCTACAAAGCGACCATTAAATGCTTTTTAAAGCAGCCATTAATAGTCATTACTTTTCAGGTTTCATTTATTTCATTCTACACCCACGTTGCTCAGAGGTAAATGACAGAATGTGAATAACACTTACCCACAAGGTCATTTTTCTCTGACAAATATCCCTCAGGATCCAAAGAGAGATTGTCAAAAGACTGTGAAAGAGACATTTCAGATTATAAGAAGGGAATAGCAGACATACAATCAAAGTAAGACATCACAAGCAGCTGGGTGTTCAACACCCCAATTAAGTACAGAAAGCAAGTCTTTGAGGTTTTTTTTTTATTTTATTTTTTTTAAATGGAGGCGTGGTGCCATTGCCACTTTAAATGCACCCCTTTGAAAACTGTAATGTTTAAAAACAAAGCTTTAAAAAATAAACTGGTGTGAAAACTGGGAGAGAAAGAAGGTGTCTCACCCTGCTTCTCCTGGTCTGGGTGATCCCCAACCCTGAGCCGCCGTCCACATCTCCCATAAGGAAGTCAGAAACTCTGAAGGGAAGATGTGTAGATATATGTCAAAAGAGCTGTTTGATTGGGTGAGAATTGCAATGTATTCAGCAGTAAAGGGTTTCCAGAAATGCTACTGCAAAGTATGCTGTTTGTTAACTTTGAAAACAAAGGTTGGCTGAAGTCAGCCCTGCTTTTCTTACACAAAAAGGTAATAAAAGTCTAGTGGTGTTGAAAAGCTACACAAACATTGTACTCACACATTGCCGAAAGTGAATGCCAAAGTGTCAATGGATGTGTGTATCTCGCCAAATATAGCCTGTGTGTTTTCTGGGTTCACTTCCTTGAAGTTAATGCCTGTGGAGAGTGATAAAACACACAATAACATCAGCCAAAATTAAACTGTGTTACAAACCAGCTCATGTTCAATCCTTCAACAAATGTATAAACACAACTAAAACATTGTATTAGATGCATGCAATTCCTCTCAAAGCAGTTGTTGGTTTTATTCTTGCAATCCTAATTAATAGAGACCTTTTTTATCTGAGTGGCTTGTGTCTGGAGAGGTTTATCGCCTCTGCAAGGGCTTACGTTTTTTTTAAAGTATGTTTTGACATTCTCCTCCACAGCGGACAAAGAGTTTAACCCCCGAGTGGTTACAAAGGGTCAAGAGTTTCAAAGGAAGCACTGTGAAAACAGCTTAAAACCACAAGTATTAGAGCAGAAGTTGTCATAGGACATCAACCTGTACAGTCCATGTCTTTCTACCACATCAGAAATACCTGCTTCTTAAAAGCTTCAAGAATCTTCAAAGACAGATATTCAAGAAATATTAAAAAAACAATCCCAAAAGTTCCCTTCCTCTGTTCAAATGTGTTATAATCCCATATGCCATCGTCCATGATGATCATGCACAGAAATGGTAATTGAATTGCACTCGTTCTTAAATGTAAGATCTATTGACAGTCAGGCGTCCACTTGTTTTCGAACCATAAGCTTGAATAATCATTGAGAAAGTTTGCACAGAGTTTTCATTGTCGAGAACAGTTTACGCAGCGAGTTAGCAGAGAGAAATCAGAGGGAGAAGAGACAGTGAAATCCGACTAAGCCGAGTACTTCCTGCCTGGCCACAACAGGAAACACTCACACAGCCTGAGATCTGTGACATGTAACACTATATACACAACTGTGACAACTCTTACCTTCTCTCTGTCACCTTGCACCTTTTTTCTAGTAACTGGGACAAGTAAAAAAAAAAAAGAAGAAATCTCTAGAAATGTTCCAGTCGGATTTCTAGCTTTTGTGCTTCCATTTTCTCTTCATTAGAGCAAATTCCATCCATGTCAGTGGTGGGTGGGTGGTTGTAAATATCCAACCTATGACCAAGCATTTAAGGGTCATGGCATCCTGGGATGGGGAGGTAACCCTTACAATCCAGGGAGATTCTTGAAGACACCAGAAGAGGGGAGAAGCCGATGTGCAAGCCTCCCTGCAGTGAACCTCTCTGGCCCTGAATGCTAGCGTACAACTCTGCACTGACTTCTTCCTCAGGACATCCTGTGCGTCTCATAACAATGATTCCAGAGCTCTGCCCCCCTTGTCAAGATTGAAATATGGAAACTGCATCATTCGAGTACAGGGGCCATTGTTTTCTCACGGTAGAGCCGTAACTGGGACCATTAGTGCCTGAAAAATGTCTTTGATGAGTTAAGAGCATGTCTTTATATCTGATAATCCTACCTTGACGTAGCTTAATTTCACTGGTGTGATATTGGCCGTTACAAACACACTGAAACATTATAGGTTAATAAGTGAGGACAAATTAAAAGAAAATGTATATGCAAGGAGAAAATAGTTTTTATTATGAGTAAACTGCATGTTTTCTTAGATAGCATAGTGACAAAAACACTGCCTGCCTTTGACATAGAAGTTGGCTTGTACTTGTAGTAAACAAATGTGCTTCAAGCATCTTCTCTAGACAGAGGGGGACTGAGAGCAGGGAAATAATTTCAATATGTTGAGGAAGTTGACACTTTAATTGCAGTTCCCTGCAGTTTTTCAGAAGAAGGAGGGGAAAAAGGACACCGTCACAATGTGGCTACAAATAGAAACTTGTCCAGGTCTAGTTTGATTCAATGAGTCTGTGAAAAGATCATGTATTTAATGTAGAGAAGACATAAACAACACTACATGTATATGTATTTAAAACTGGTTCGACAACCATATGTTTGGATAGGAAGGGAGGGGGATTTTTTCCACTAAATTCTGGCAGCTGCCGAACTGCCCCAGGTGTTTTGAGCATCAAAGAGCAACATGAGTGAAGAGGCGACACACTCTGAAGACACTGAGATGCACAAGGCCTGTTATCATCCAAACCTTTGAGTCCTCATCTCTGATGTCTCGCTGATTCATTCTTCTCTCAGCCTCTCCTTTTCAGTCCTCCTCTGGCCCGGTGACTGTGGCAGTATTGTGTTACCAGCTGGCCATTAGGGGCAGTCCAACCAGGGTGTGTGTTGATGTAAGACACCCCCTTGTGGACAGGCACATTCCCACTTGTCAACAACATATGCAGCTACTGAATTTAAGGCAAGACTAAATGGCTTTTCTTGTAAAATAGGAAAAAAGTGCAAACTGCACAGCCTACAGTAGCAGCATTATTATCAGTTTAAGGGTGTTTATTTATGCATATTTTTGTGAGATTTGAGCATACAGTATAATAAATACCTTGGTTATACCCATACATTTTGTAAAACCTTGAATATGTCATAGTATGTCTGTATTTAGGGATGCAGCAATACAATTGTTTTTTTCTCTTAATAAAATATTTAAAGATTTGATTTGAGATCCTTATGTCTTACTGCACTGAACTTATTTTAAAGGTGGGGTAGGTAAGTTTGAGAAACCGGCTCGAGATCGCTAGAATTTGAAAATACACAACCGGAGAAAATCTGCCACTTCCTTATAGAGCCCCTCCTCCAACACACACGAACGCGCACATGACCAATGAGGGCACGAGATAAGTTTGTGCACAGATGGAAGGCTGACAGGCAGGTAGGCCATCCAGTTACTTTAGCCGGGCCGGCTGGCTCAGATGATTGGTCGTGCTTTTTACAGTACTACAGCTTCCACAGATGACATTTTTTTATGGATTTTTTGTCAAAGCACTTAAGATATTCATTGCTATCGGGATGTTAAGAGCATTCCATGGAATATAACAAAAAGTGTATCTCGAGCCGGTTTCTCAAACTTACCTACCCCACCTTTAATCATTTTCATGAGAGTTATAATGAGATCAATGATGGCCATGGCTATATAGTAATCCTACATTTTCAAACCTTGCCAAGACCAAATATATGGTAGACATCTAGACACGAGCATCAGGGAAGAACGTGGCAACTAAATGAATATTGAAAAACTGCATTTTCTTCAAGGCACAAATATTGGATACCAAATCCACTTAACTCAGTTTGAGTGCTGATACTGATTTCCCATATTGAATTGGTTAAGCAATATTTCTTACAAGTCTTGTAGATTTTGTTTACCATAGGTGTTTCACTGGCCTTCATAGAAACAGTGGTCTTCAAACATGTGCAATAAAGGTGTAAAGGTGTTTGAAACGCGTCATTGTCTGTCTTGTTATTAAAGTTAGTCTCACTCTGACTCATCTGACACTGGATCTCATTTGTTTCCTTTTGGCATTCTACACATTGTCAAAACACTCGTCAATCAACCGCAGATGCAAACAGATATTTTTAAGCATTTTTGAGGAGTAGGTCATAACTCAGATATAGAGATGAGACAGGTGCGTTGTCAGACACTCTCACACCTCACGAAGCGGGGGAAAAGAATGAAGACGCGTGGATGTGCTGGACCGACAAGCCGCCTGCCAAAGGGGCCCCGCGGTCGCTGAAATATGGAATGCAAATTACAGTCGTGTCGACTCCGCTGTAGAGATTCTTGTGTGCAAGTCAAGTGAAGAAAAACCCTTGCAGAGGATCACATTTCTAGCAGAGTGAACTCGTGACTTGAGATTCCTTTTGTTTGTGTTCATTCGGGAGACAGGAAACAGAGCTGTTGCTGAAGGAGTATTCTCTTCTCATACTGCGCCCTTTCAGAAACAAAACTCCAAGCCAAGTAAAACTAAGATCAATAAAATATAACCACAGGGTATTTCCCACACTAGTCTGCATGACTTACGTAGGCCTGAAGCAGTAATACAACAATCAGAGTAAAAGCCAAGATATTGCAGTATCATTTGATTGTTTTTACCTGTATGTCTGTGTGCATGCAAGTGACTTTAACTGACCTTTGACCTTGGCGATGACCGTGCCAGCCGCTCCGAGGATATCCACCGAGTTGAGGGTCTGGTGTTTGCTGATGACGGTCTTGAGGACGCGAAGTAACTCTGCCAGACGTTCCTGCACCACCTCCTGAAGACCTTCTAGATTCTCTGGGGATAAAAGAGACAATGCAGGTTTAAGGTTAGTGAGGTCAACCAATACGTGACTACCTTCGAAACCCAACTACCATGCACAGTTTTCCATCAAACATTTGCATCTATTAGTCAAAATCACCACCATCACACTACGTTTTGAGTCACAGGTGAGTGTGAAAAGAATTCCATGCATTCCTTTTGTCTTGGCTGCACGTATTACTTGGCAAATATGTTGTTATTTTTAAAACTTTGATGTCTTCTGTGTCTGATCCAGATGATTTCCCTCAAGTCAAACGTGTTGTGTTTTTATTTGCGTGCATGGATGCGACCCCAGATGATATCTAGAAGACGGTTCTTGTTGAGAGGCAGTGACTAAGGCAGTTGTTTTGCGGCATAAAAGTGCAGTGATGCAACTTCTTTCTGCTTCCTCCAGGCGGAGAGTGACACCTTGTACAGCGGAAGAGGGATGTTTCTATGTAAACAGGTGGAACAATGTCACGGTTATGAGAATCTCACACAGGTGGAGTTGATGAATACTCAGAAATGATGACGTGCTTTCTCTGTTTTTGTGGTCACGAGTGAACTCAAACTTGTACTTTAGACACGTCAACTACAAAGCCACCTATTGTATCTGTGCAATAGCTTCGCTCTCTTTCAAAGTCTTTGAGTTCTTGTTGTGTTTATTTGTTAAACTTTTTACAGCTTATGCAATAGAAAAAACACAACTTTGACAAATTGCGTCACAGACACCGCACCAAACACACTCCAATAAAAAAAGGGCACTCGCACTAAATTAGCATGAAGAAATAACGTTTTAAAGAGTTGACTGAAGTGGCACATATGGTAGCTATTATGCAAGCATACTTTTCTGCAGCAATCTGCTGACGGTGTGAGCGGAGAAAAAAAAAAAGTTGAGGAAGATATTGCATATTTCTAGCGGTTTCAGAAGATGACACTTGAGGAGGAACAGAATGTACAAAATGCATCCATCCCTTTTTGTTGCCAAGCATACCACATTCTAAGTCCTTTTGCTCGGAAAGGCATGCTTTTCCTGTATAACCACACATTACGGTGAGGAGCATTACACACTTTATCTGTATTTATGAGTCTAAATGAATGCTCTTATTCACGACGATGGATCTTCTGTATAGATTTCAGACCGCACAGCAAACACACTTTTCAAACCAGTGTTTTACAGACAATTTAGCTCTTTGGGTTAAATGCAGCCAAAAGAAAATCAGTCAATCTTGACACTTGATGAGTCTGTCTCCTGCTCTGATAAAGGCTAATCAGCTGTTGCTCTGCCAGTTGGCACCAGACAAAAGGTGAGTTCATGTCTAACTTTTCAAAGTAGCAGGGACACCGTCTGGAAACAGAAAAGTCATCTGTTTTTTTGTTTTTTTATCAAGGCCACCCCACCAGGCAGCAGCAGCACGAGATGAGAGACTTGAATTTATTGCAACGTTAAAAAGGAATTACAGAGGGCGTGAAAATGAGAGCGTGTGTGTGTGTCGCCCGTTTGACTTCACTCTTATTTAAAAACAGTAACTCCATTGGCTGGTGTAAAACACGGTAGAAGAGACATAATCCGCAAAAGGAGACATAAGCCCTTGCCATCTGTGACACTATTTCACAAGAACGACAGAAGCCATAGACATGAATTTAGACGCTAAGCGAGGAAGAGACTTTGACAATGAATCACTAGGAACGTAACACATAGAAGAGTTGAGGATACTCTCCAAATATACACCAATTCAAAAGGACACAAGAGCAACACAAGGGTCTATCTCGCTGATTAGAAGCTAACCCCGTCTCTAGCTCCCCACCCCCCAGGATTAGAGGAAATGCGTCCGGTAATACAGACGGGGGGGTGGCTCACCTGCCTTCCTGCCCCAAGGCGAGAGGTCCCTGACCCTGCAACACACACTTTGAGGTTCCCCTCCCTACCGACACTGACAATTGGTCCTTCATTAAGCCCCCTCTCCTTCCTCTTATCCTTAGCTCAGTGGCGTTTGAAGATGTTCTTATCAAAGACATGTGTGGTACCATATGAGAACCGTCCCTAATGAGGTCCACACCTGAGAATGTCCACTTAGCATGACTAAAAGGTGCTGATATGGAGCAGTTACGTCGGTTAGGATCACCCATTTCCCTTTCGTCTAAAAAAAAAGAAGGGTTTAATTAGACTAATGTGTTCTTTAAGAGAAGTGAAAGGGATTCACATTGTGAGGAAAGGACAATAGCGGTGATGTTGTGGCAACAAAGACAGAAGGACGTCCTGAGCCAATCTGCTGGATTGGAACAAAGCCATCCAGGGCATTTGTTTCTTGTTTTGGTATTGGCTGTATCTTCTCTGTGTGTACTAGGGATGCCAGAAACTGACCAAGTTTACAGTAAAACAAACTGGTGGTGTGATCAATGGTCATTTACAATTATTAATACTATTACTATTATTAGCATTAGTTTATATTTTGGTTGAAACCAAACCAGGAAAAAAAAAAAAAACATAAATATTAATAAAAAAATATATAAATAAAATCGAATTTTAAAAATAATCTTCGATTATGGAGACTGTAACGAATATTCGAATAATCGAAGGCATCCCTAGTGTGTACTGTCACCTACTGCCTGCTGTCAAAGAATCTCCTCTGTGCTGAGCTAAAGCACTGCACTAGAGTGGCACCAACAAACAAAGCAGCCGGCGACTTCAATTGATGATATATGACGGCGTGCATGAGTGAACGAAGACCACCCTAATGAGAGCAGAGCTACTCAAAAAAATCAATCATGCATCGACTCAAGCAACAATTTGCAAAGCATCTCAGGTACCCTATTTGCTAATAAGCCTGTATTACTCTTTTACAAACCAAAATATTTGAAGGAATCGATAAGGGAGTCAATAAAGAATACCATTTTTAAGAGAAATTGATCATGAAATTGTATGAACTCCCAGTCCCTACACTTTGCTGCTGTTTTATGAAGGACAATATAAATGTATCATGACAAAAATGGTGGTTGCTAAACTTGAAAGAGACAATGTCAATACTATACCCAAAAACATATACAGTATAATATAACTTTGTAAGATTTAAAAAGTTGTATTCAAAGGTGATAAATAAATTACACAAGGTTTAACATATAGATGACTTTTTTTAAA